TATTTTGTATTACAAATTTTTAAAGGATATTGATTCTCATAATATGTTAGTATGAAATATATGATTAGTTATTTAAGTTAGTGTTATAGAACCTGAAAATAAAAAAAACCTCATTTGTGATAGGCCATAAATGCATGCTACAGCCTTTCCATCACGGTCAATCTCATCCAAAGTTTTACGTGCCACAAGCGCTAAGCTGTCTAAGGGATGCACATTGCAATTGAGTTCAAGAAGATGTGTCTCAAAAGCTTGGTTTAAATGTCGAACAGCTGCATGATTAGCTGGGGCACGGTCTGTCAACGTGTTGGTAATGGGTTTGATGATGTTATGCTTCACATGGTTGATTTCAAGTCCTTTGTATAATGCATAAGTAGTAGCCACTCTAACTAATGCATCACACACATGGTCAGCATAATCTATAGCTTTGCCTCCTGGGAGATCTCTTATATTTACTGTCAAAGAGCCATGTTCAGAGGAGATGTGAAATTCATTTATATGAGATCCTCCCAGTGTTGTAGCATCCCAAGAAATAGTTATGTTATTATTTTTAATTAGAGTATCTGCCACTTGTAAATCAGACAACACTCCAAGTTCATACGCCATTTGAGCCACTGTTGTTGGATGAGGAATACGGGTGAGAGTTTTTCCTGTTAAAGCCTTGATTACATATGCAACTACTTCGCCTGCTGAAGTAATGGACACATGATGAGTCAAACACATAAACATGGATTTTCTCATTTGTGTAGTGTAACAGTTATCTTCAAGTGGATCTATTGTTTCATCACATTTGAATTCTTCAGTCAAAATTTCAAAATATTCAGCACGCTTAAGGTTCTGGCTGGATTCATCTTCTAGCATTTTTACCTTTTTATTTAATTCAGATATTTGGTGTGCAAGGTCTGCTATTTTAGATTCAAGTTTCTTGTTTCTGTTCTTCATTTTTTTGTTACACTTTAAAATTTTAGCAAAACTTGCACTAATTGGTTGAGTCTTCCCTTTCTTTAACTCTTTCACCTCAGATTTTAGCCTGTTTATCTGTTCAGCTTTCCTCCTCTTGTCACTGTTTACTTTTTTAGGTGTGTACAGCTGCTTCAAGTTCCTGTTCTCTTTTCTCAAGTAACATATCTTTGCGTTCAGTTTTTTAACTTGCATCCTATTCTCAGCATCCAAATTGATGTTAGTCTGTCTTAATATTGGACAATTTTCACAGTCTTTTTTCAGTTTTTTGGCAGGGCTGACACTGGCATCAGGATCTACTCTATCAGCTTTTGAACTTTCTTTGACAATATTCAATTCACTTTTGCTTTTTGGTACTGGCAAAACAAATTCATTTTCCAATAATGAAACAATAAGGGGCCATTTTTTACTAACAATTTTTCTGTATGCAGACAGCTGGGACACAATTTTCATTGTTTTGCTGACTAAAGAGGTTAGGTTTACTTCTTCATTCCCAATAGCAGCCTGAATTAATTTTGCAGTAGCAGTTGCGTTTTTAGAATTGTAATAAAAACTAGCAACATGACCATTCTTCAGTATTTCTCCTTCACTGTAGTTGCTGTAGTTGCTTATGAGTTGATCCACGTCTTTAGTAGACTTCCTATCCACTTGCTGAACTGTTCCCTGTGATTCCATTCTGTAGATCTAGATTCTAGGGCCAAGACTAGTAAAGCACAAGCTGAGAAATATACTACAGTAGCAAAATACCACACAGTGTACTCTAGTGTACTGTGTAGTGCAGTTTTTCAAGTATAGATTGTTAGATGTTAATTGTTAATTTTTTAAAAATTAATTAGAAAAGCAAAAGGTGGCCAAATATTAAAAATTGAATTTTTTGAAATTCTTAAATTAGGTATTAAGTTTTAAAATTAACAATTATTTAATAGAATAATATAGAAGGTAACACAATTTACTGAAATTATAAACAATATTCTTTAAATTTCAAATATATAACTCAAAGTTAACAATATTACTAATATTACTATTTAAAAGAAAAGATTATTCAACTCAAAAAAAAAATCGCAAACGGCGCGAAAAACTATAATTATTAACAAACTCAAAATTACCAAAATAATGAATCCAAAACCAAACTACAAACGAAAATGTAACAAAAAGTCAAAGTATTATCAATTTCAAATAAAAATTAATAGTTTAAAGTTATTTTAATGTCAGATTCAAACTGATTGCATGGGGATAGCAAATCAATTAGAAAGACAAGCAATGGCGTCATTGACAACACCAGAGCACTTCCGGTTTTGAACCTATCACTTCCGGTAGCCTTAAAATGTCTTAAACCTTATACTTTCTAAACTATTTATAAAAAAATAGCTTGCTATCGATTAACATTATGAAAATTTACACACATAAAGAAAAATGGTGATTATGGTCGGAGGGCTTTTCATTGGCCTTCCTTGTTAGTAAGTTTTTGAGTTACAAAGAGTTTTACTTACCAAAAGTTTGGCTCAAAATATCCATTTTCACCTTCAACAAAATCTCAAAACAAAAATACCGTAACATACGAAATCCATTTGTTTTTCAGAATCAGTCATCAAATTATTAGTAGCATCGGCGATTTTTAATAAAAAAAATTTTTTTCGATCATCACCCGCGACCGCACGGCTAAATCGACGAAACTCGGTATGGGCAGAAAACTCTCGTTTTTAGTGCCTCAAAATCTACGTCATCCAAGTCCCTAGTATCATGGCGTAGAAGAGCAGGCCTAACAAAAATTATGAAACTTGCGTTAAAAACACTTTAAAAAAAAAAGAGGTAACAATTAATAAGAATAATGTTAATAATGTTAGATCTTAATAATCTGAGGATAACAGTCATAAAAAAATAAGCCAACTGTAATGAAAGGGGATACAAACGAATTTTTAAAGCCTGAATCGAACTGAAAACCTTCCCTTGTTCGCCATTTTGTTTATTTTGATTACCTTGTTCGTATTTATCATGGATAACAAATGTTATGACTTGCATCGTCTACCTCTCCCTGGCCACTTCAGTTCAGTTCAAGGTGGGGTTGAGGGCGGTTTTATAAAATATGTAAATTAGTACAATTATTCAAAAATATTTTTAACGGCTTCTGTTCAACACAAAAATATGAAAATGAGTGTAATCGATGGTTCCTAATCGACTTTAATTTTTAAAATTGTAGCTATAATTTTATCGCTTGTCATATTTTTTAAAATAATTTTTTAAAAATTTAGTATGATTACATAGACTTTTCCTACCTATTCTATTATTAATTCTGTGTTGATGGGAGATAACTCCGGAAATGTTTTACACTAATAGCTCTCGATGCTACTTCCCTTTAGTTTTGAAATCAAAATTAATTCTATTTTTATTTTTAATGTTGATTTAATCTTGTATATTACCATCACACTATATCATGTCACAACTTTTAAAAGTGTTATAATGAACACTGGTATTTTGTAATATATTCACACTGCCTGATTAATTTTCATTTTAATTTATTACAAAAAAAAATGTAGGTCTACATTGGGGGTCATCCATAAATGACGTCACGCTTTTTTTGACAATTTTTACCTCCCCCCCCCCTCCCCTCCGTCACAACAAGTCAGACCCCCCCCTAAAATGACGTCACACCTCAACCTACAACCCCCCTCAAAATTGCAGTTGAATTTTTTAAAAACATCGATATTTTTCCAAAATCTTGTCTAAACTATTACAATTTATTAAAACAGTTATCTAAAACGCGAAATAACGTCTAAAATTCGTTTTCTAACATTGCTTTTTTATAATGCAAAAATGTGACGTCGCAACATCTGAACCCCCCCCCCCCTCCCCCTCATCACACATCGTCACAAAATTACGGACCCCCCCTCCCCCCTACGAGTGTGACGTCATTTATGGATGACCCCTTGGTTAGAAAATGATGTTAGTGACTGCGTGGAGTACGTATTTGTTTTGTAAAAGCTAAATTCACGAGTCGGCAACCTTTTGAGACGGTTGAGCCAAAAGTTACAATTCACAAAGTTTTCCAGTTTTTAAAGAGCTACTAACATTTTTATTTCAATATTATGTCATTTAATTAGGATTAGGTGAGTAAATGTTATTTTTCATTTGAAATAAATAGCATATTAGCATTATAAATAAAATAATATTTATTCACATAAAAACATACAACACGTATTAAAGTATTTTAACTTGCTTGGATATTGATTTGATTACGTGTATTGGTCACTTATGTCCTTCGGTTCCCACCTGACTTACCCTACACCCTACTCGTACCCCACCCTCTAGTACCCGGCTTAACCGTAGGAAGTTAATAACTAAAAATAACTGTCACTCAGGTGTAATTAATGCATACTGACAGATAGAGAAATGCATTCTGAATAAAATAACATTCACTATTGAATGATATTTGAAAAAGTCGGCAGTGGCAAGCCTGGAACCGTCGTCACTGGACTGGCTACAGCACGGCTGTAGGGCTGGGCCTGGGGCCAAAGCGGCTGTCAGCTGTCCATATCCTCTCTACTTCACCGATTCTCACTGTTCTCTGATGAGTGTTTGTATCCCATTGTTTTTCTTTACAGTATATTTTTTATGAGTTTTGGAAATGAAATAACATATGTGAATGAAATTCGAGAGCCACATCTTGAGATCAAAATAGACGCATGCGGCTGGCGAGCCGCAGGTAGCCGATCCCTGGCTTAATTTATGCCTAAAGTTGTTAAATATTCTTGCTTTGTGGTTATGACATAAACATTACAAGCATGGCGAATTTCAAATTAGCTCATATTATATGTTTAATATAAGACAAGTTTAGATCAAATTATTTTTATCTTGTACCAACAATTTTGAGATGTACACATTGTATTTCCATACCGTTTTTAAGTAGCTATTCCCAATCGTAGTCTATATGGTATCCACATGTGAGCTGAATATATCTGTGTTGAATGAGAACGTATGTCTAAACATAGTTACAATCCTAAAACTCAACACGTTTCGTTATTTAGATACAAAACTCCATGGCATAATTATCTATCTATGTCCTCCTTCAGATCCAGCGCTTGTGAACGCCTTGGAAGATTTGAACCCGTCTCGCTCGTGTTAGTGGGTCTGGTGTTGTGCTTGACCACCTTACCACCTCTACAAAAAATCTGCCTAAATACCTGTCTGTAGCGCGAGCTCATTCTGTAGTAGATGAAAATATTGATGGCGGAGTTGGTGGACTCGAGGATGTACCCGAACGAAAACACGACAAAAAACATGTTGTGGTACTTGCCGTTGATGGCTAACTCAGGTTCCACCGTCATGCCAATAAACACGACACAGATTGGCGTGAAGCATACGATAAACAAAGCGGAAATCATCACCACCATGCGCGTCACTTTCTGATCACGTGACGATAACGTATCCACATGCGCAGTCGGTTTGGTATTCTTCCGCCATTTTGTCTGCTGTCGTAGCTTCACCACCAGCACGATGGTGCAGGCCAGGATGGTGAGGAAAGCGGTGAACGGTATGATGATGTTGTTGATGGTGAAAGAGACCTTCTCCACCTGTTCCCGGTCGGGGGTGTAGATCAGACCTATCAGGGTTTTGTTTCTGTCGGGAAAGAACTTGAGTCCGTATCTGTTGGCGTAGTAGACCGGGGAGACGCTACCGATGAGCAGTAAGAATATGGTCACCATAATGGCCGTCACTCGCTTGGGCGTCAAGGCGGATTTGATCTAACAAGTATACAAAAGCATTAGGCCTAGTTACTATGTTACATGTATTGAATATATGCTGATCACTGAATACAGAAATACCGGTAAACCTATGTTATTAACTAGCACCAATGCAGACGTTTGTTTTAGTAATATTAGATAGACACCTCAAGAAGTCTAAATTTAACTTATCGATAACTTTTTATGTAATGCCCAGAGTTTCTGTTCGGGCATCTCTCTTCTGGGGGTGGGGGGGGGGGGGGCGGACACTGTTAAAATTATATATTTTATAAATAAATGTCATTTAGTTCGGGGGGGGGGGGGGGGTAGACTTTCTTCGGGGGGGAAGCCCCCCTCCCCCCCCCCCCCCCCCCCCCCCCCCGAAGAGATGCCTGGAAGAATTTCTGGGAGGAAAAGATAAAATATTTTTAAAAGTGTGGACTACTTTAACCAGCTTCCGCCACACCCGTAAGTTTTAAGTGCGCCCCCCCCCCCCACACCGAAGAAAAAAGTCTCAAAGAAACCCCGATATCGCTAATCTGACACACCTGTAAGAATGACCAATAAAGGTAGGTCTATGTACGGACAAATCTCTAAGTCAAGTATAGAGCTACGCACAAAACGCCTTCGTAAATTACCTTCAGGGGGTAGTACTATACACAGGCACCTACGTAAATTACCCTTAGGAGTATAGCTCTACACTAACACCTGTAAATTACCTTTAGGGGTAGCGCTATACACAGACACCTCTCTAAGACACCACTACGGGTAACACTATACACAAATACCTCTGTAGATTACCTTCAGGGGTAGCGCTATACACAAACACCTCTCTAGCGTGATGAAGGCGGTGATCCAGCTAGTGATGCGGGTGAAGACGACGTGGGGCCACCCACCTGTCAGGTACTGCATCTCTATGGAATCAAACGGCAGGTCGGCCTCATGGAACAGCGGGTTGAAGCACAGGTTGTGCCAGATCAGAGTTCCCAGCATGCCTAGGTCTGACACTGCCAATGCTGGAGCGACATGATACAGTCAATAGAATGTTACGTTTACACAAAATGACAACACAACGGTATAGGCCTACTACTTATAAACATTAAGTGAAGTAATGATACAATTGTTAGTGTTATATGGATGAAAGCAATACTAGTTCATAGAAAATGAAGGTAACCAGTAAATGAAAATTGTTTACACCCGACAATAATTGCTTATCAAACTGAATACAATATCCGCTAGTATAGATACTTTCAAATACACCCCCAAACACACAAAGCACAACAATCATCATACACCCATAAATACATCCATTGATCTTACACCCATATTACACACACCACACATACCACACACACCACAATCAAAGATACAGACACACACGTTGAAATACACCATGAAAGACACACACAAAACACAACCACCAGCACACCCTCAAGGACGTCCATTGACCTTACACCCACCACAATACACACCATCACACTGACATCACAAGACACCACCACACCCACCATAACACCCACCACCACACTCAACACCACACCCACCACAACACCCACCACCACACCCACCACCACCACACCCACCACCACACCCACCACCACACCCACCACCATCACACCTACCACCACATCCACCACCACACCTACCACCACACCCACTACCTCACCCACCACCACACCCACCACCACACCCACCACCACACCCACCACCACACCCACCACCACACCCACCACCACACCCACCACCATCACACCTACCACCACATCCACAACCACACCCACTACCACACCCACCACCACACCCACCACCACACCCACCACCACACCCACCACCACACCTACCACCACCACACCCACCACCACCACACCCACCACCACACTGACATAACAAGACACCATCACACCTACCATCACTCTCACCAGCATACATACAAATACCCTCTCACACAAACCCTCACTTCCAGCCTCACACTCTCCTCCACACATATCATCATATCCACCAACACACAGTAACACTTACCCATCAGACTGACATTGACACTGTCCTTGAACCCCTGCTTGACGAAAACAACGACATTGACGATGTTTGTGCAAGTACCGAATATATCCATCAGCTGACAGATGACAGCAAAGTTCATAGCCTGGAAGATTAGACGTACCTCGTCGCTCACCATCCCAAGTGAGCTCTCCTGCAGGTCCGATAACTCTCCTGCCCCAGCCAACGATACATTATTGCCCATTGAAACCGAGTTGTCTGCACTTGACAATACAATGGCCACCATTTTATCGAGTTGTCTTTCTTAGTTATTGTAGATAAACAATGTAAGGGCGATGACTGTTATTAATCAGGTAACTGAACATTAGCCGTTTAGGAGTTATCTCTGCTTATACGCACTATGTTCACCATTTTACTAGATTATAAGTTTTGACTAACTTCCATTTATCATCTTTTCTTTTATATTCATTTTCATTTGAAATCTATCTTCATAATAGAATTAATAACAGTAAGTGAAACGACATGTGTTCATTTTAAAGTAGAATAAAGCGGAAGTGATTTCTCAACTTTCTCGCATATTCTTATATGGCAGTAAGGCGGATGACACTTTCAGTGCATTCGGGTAATAGAAATGAAATGTATAGATTTTTAAGAAACAGAAATAGAGTAAGTATCACATCCGGATAACGAGAATCGCTCAAAGGTTGATAGAAAACTTCAAATTTGATGAAACTTAGTCAACATTACTGAAACGGTACTATAGTTATTTTATTTACATACATATATATATATATATATATATATATATATATATATATATATATATATATATATATATATATATATATACATACATATATATATATATATATATATATGGTTGTGTTTTGTTTGTGTTGTGGTTGCGTTGTGGTTGTGTTGTGGTTGCGATGTGGTTGTGTTGTGGTTGTGGTTGTGTTGTGTTTGTTTTTGTGCTGTGTTTTTTGTTTTTGTTCTGTTCCAAAGTTGTACATTTTTTGCGTTCGTTTGTGTTGTGTTTAGTTTTGTTCTGTTCCCAACTTCGTACATTTAAAAAAGATTTACCGTGGCGGAGCACGGGATGCAGCTAGTATATATATATATATATATGTATGTATATATATATATATATATATGTATATGTATATATATATATATATATATATATATATATATATATATATATATATATATATATATATATATATATATATATATATATATATATATATATATTAGCCGTCCCGGCCAGGCCCTGCTCTGGCTTCTGTGAAAAACCTTTCTGTTAAAGACCATTACCTGTGTGTTTAGTAATCATCATAAACCCGGCATTGCCCACCCAAACCACAACCAACCAAAACAACAAAACGCAAACATAACGCTAACACAATTACAAATACAAACGAAAACAAAAACCTAACAACAAACCCAACCACAAACACCAATACCAAAAAAAAAAAACAACGAAAAAGCAAACGAAAACAAACCAAATCCAAACGCAAAACCAACCAAAAACACAAATACAAACCCAAACAAAAAAAAACACAAACAAAAACGAAAAAAGAAAGAACAAAAACGAACCAAATCAAAACGAAACCACTAACGCAAACCCACCTAAACACAAAGAAAACACTAACGCGAACATAAACGCCCGGGGCGGAATCACCTGTTTTAGCTTAATGAACGACTATAGTACCCCAACTTATTCATAGTCTTTTGCACTCACTTAAACGAACGCGCCTGTTTCAATTTAATGAACAATTTTAATACTCCAAGCTTATCCGTAAAATACCTACAACATTTGCACTTGATCAATCCCCGCTAATTATGTAATAATTTTTTTTTTCCCAGCACCAAAACAAAGTAATTAAAAAGTAAATTATTGTCCACAAAATGCAATGGTTTTATAAAGGGAAGTAATTTTGTTTTCCTAATTTATCAAAGGGAAGTAAGTGCTATAGGACTAAATAAAGACATAATTAGAATTTTTGTAAAAGATGATATTTTTTTTAAAACTTGTGTTTAATGAACATGCCGACAATTATTACTAAAATTTGAAAAATGAAAATTATTTCCCAACACTTTCAATAGTAATTTTTTAGCTCATAAATTTAGACAAATGCGCACGATAATTTTCTAACACTTAAATTCATCCAAGACCAACGACAAACATATGCATTACATACATAACTGAGCTTTATATATTTATATATATATATATATATATATATATATATATATATATATATATATATATATATATATCATACACACACACACACACACACACAGACCGATTGCAAAACTAAGTAATTCCGATTGCGGAAGGTTTTAAAACGTCAAAAATTGTCAAAATCTTGATTAATATTTTCGCACGATAACAATACATTCTTTATATATATTATGTGTACCATAAAGTAGACGTGAAAATTGGCGAAAAATATCTGCGAATTGTTTAGCGTGATTCCAATACTTCCTCTATACTCGATACTCGAGAGGTATGAAAGTTAGTGCATTTTATTTAATTAGTTTTTAATTAAACGAATTAATTCATAACAACTGGAGCAGCGTAAATTGCGAAATTTCTCAAAAACTAAGTCCTTGTAAATGTTGTCAAATCAATTTAATTATAAAAGCAACACATACGGCAATCTTGATATTAAAACTATAATGAATAGTAATTGTGTAATGACAGAAACAGTTACAAAACTGTCTTTATATAATTAGTATTTGTGTAAAAAGATTACAATTATCAATACAAAAAATACCAATTTCGCGTTTTATTTTACCACACGTTTACTCATTGATCGCTAAATTTTAATTTTATTGTAGATAATTTAGTTGAATAAACATGGAGAGCGTATGTCTAATGAGCGGCATCGCGTGTCTTAACGAAATGTAAACATTTGTCTTCTGCTTCAGGTGTCTACCATGCGACAACGACGACTTTTGGACAGACATCCGTGTAAAGTTTGTGTCAATACAAGGCTTAACGATTACTGTTGAGGTCTATGTTTAAAGTATGGATAATGTATTACCTGCTTGTAAGTAGAATATTTGTTTAATTGAGTTGACATGTAGGCTACTATATTGCAATAGAGTAGGCCTACACATTTACGAAAACTGTTGAAGGTAAAAATGTAATATATATATATATATATATATATATATATATATATATATATATATATATATATATATATATATATATATATATATATATATATATATATATATATATATATATATATATAAATATATATATATATATATATATATATATATATATATATATATATATATATATATTTATATATATATATATATATATATATATATATATATATATATTACTATTTATCATATAATATATTCATCATATTTTAATTTAATTATAATTTTAGTATATCAACATTTAAAAAAGGGAACTAACTTTCGTGTTTTTTTAAAAAGTATCTTTCTGATATGTTCTTATTTGAAATTTGAATTGTGTGAAAAAATCTGAGATAGATTAATTGTAATCATTAAATATGAGCTGGAAATTAACTGGAGTTAGAGCTATACATCATTTTCTGGCCTGTTATACTACATCATGATAAAGCAACAAACATTATTTAACCCATATTATCCCAAGGTCTCAAATTTTTATAATTTTTTGATATGGTTTAGCTTTTGGGCACTGAATGAAGGAATGAATATGGATTTTCTTTTTAAATCAATACTTTTTTAAATATCGATTTTTTAAAAAACGTCCCATAAATGGGACGCTAGCAACGAACGGCCCCATGTACATTTATTGAAAAATAAAATCATTTTTCACGAAATATGGCTAATCACGCGAAAATTAAGCTGTGTACTGATTTTGTATTGTTAGACCAATGATTTCATTGTTTAGGACAGCTAAAAATATTGATAATGATCAATTGGGTTAGCCATACCATGGTCTAAAATGCAGAAATTATGTTCAAAAGTCTAGTTTTCTTTCAATCTAGCATCCATCAAAGTGAACAACACTTGGAATTAAGTAAAGCTGTGACTAATACATCTAATTATACACACATGATCACAAATATTGTTATTATTCATCGAAACTGTAATATAATTAAATATAAATAATTGATTTTTTTGGGGGGCGTACTTGAAATTTTCAGGGGTGGGGACTTAAATTTCAGGGGAAGGGTGGACATTGGTAAAAGTATGTTTTGTATATAAATTCCATTTTCTTCTGGGGGCAGAGCCCCCCCCCCCCTCCTTCGAAATGATGCCTGAAAGAAACTCTTCCCCTAGTGAATTTGCAAAAGATGATCCGGTCCAGTCCCAGATGTCATCCAGCCATCTTCTCTTTTGTTACCCTCGCTATTCCCCCCCCCCCTACAGGCGTACATTAGGACATCAGACATCTTATTTCTAGGGCACGGATCCGTCTCTGGGGCTTGTATTGAGTGTTCATGGCTCTCATCCATGTATGCACCTCACTATGCGAACAGCTCCCAATCTAACAGCAGGAATCTCCTTAAAGAGTTAGCGAAGTAAAACTGGTATCGGGAACCTTTGGAGGGGAATATTATTGGGGCATGACAACTGTACACAGCTAATTCACATTTCTGCTATATGTAGCTTAAGCTCTCTTATATGAAGAGAGTTAATCAACCCCCATGACTGAAACATTTCACCTAAATCGTGGCCATTGTTATTATTCTGGTTTGTTATAATTTTAATATCACGCGCTAGTAAATTTACAGCAATACTAAATTAGTTTGTATTCAATGGTATTAAATACTTCAGTAAGTGTAATTCTGAAAACTTAAAAATAAAATGTAAGTTTTTCAATATTTGCAATTTTCTAATACAATAATATATAAGAAAATATAGCTCAAGGTCATAATTAAATATCTATAAATACTACTTAACACCCCAAGGTCAACAGTTAACAAAGTCAACAATTGTTTCACCATAAATAACCATTTCACATAAATATTTGCATCTGTGTTTCACGCTAGTGTCCAATAAATGTGACGTTTGTGTAACAATCTGCATAAATATAGGTCAAGGTCATAATTAAATATCTATAAATACTACTTAACACCCCAAAGTCAGCAATTAACAAAGTCAACAATTGTTTCACCTTAAATAACCATTTAACACAAACATTTGCATCTGTGTTTCTAGCTAGTGTCCAATAAATGTGACGTTTGTGTAACAATCTACATGGGGCCATTCGTTGCTAGCGTCCCACTTATGGGACGCTTGTTGTACACTTGATATAACGAAGTAGTAAAAAAAAATTGTTATTCTTAAATTTTTATCAGATAGAAATATGGTACTGCTACAAGTTTCAAATGTATTTTGCACTTAAAATGTTAATATTTTAGAAGATATGCATTTTCCTGTGCGCATGTTTTCTTTTTTCCGCCATTTTGACAAGTCCTGCAAATTCGGCACTATAACATTTTTCTAAATTAATTTTTTTCACAAAACACACACAAATTCAATAGTCCAGCCATTTTCAAATACAATGAAACATAATTTGTGTTTTAACTAGTTTTTAATAAATTTTAGTAATTTTTTTTACAAGCGTCCCATAAGTGGGACGCTAGCAGAATATGGGTTAATTTATCAATATTTATGTCTTATTTTCAAACAAATTGCAAGGAATTAATTTCTCGATACTCTCGTGCGTGAGATTTTTAACAGAACAGAAATGTCAGCTGCAAGCTAAAAATTCTATATCTCTCCCACTACTATATTTTTACTTTCTCGTTTATACGAAGTATAGAGAAAGTATTGTAATCGTGCACAAAAATCAATTGAAATTTTAACAATTTTCACCGTATTACACCTCAGTCCTTCATCACATCCGAAGTATAGAGGACTTATTTTAATCGGGCAAAACTTATCAATCCAGATTTATCAAAATTAAGAGGTTTTATGCGTAATCCAGTCTGGAAAACTGGGCTTTGCAATTCTGTCCGTATGTCTGTGTGTCCGTGTGTGTGTGTCTGTCAGTGTGTAAACACGATAACTTGAGTACCGTTACAGCTAGGTTGATGAAATTTCATATATAAGTATTTTATCAAAATCGTAGATCCGTATCAACTTTTGAGCGATTTCCGATAACCGGAAGTGGTACTTTTTCTACTTTGAATTTTTCAAAAACCTATAACTTGAGTACTATGTCAGATAGATAAATGAAATTTCACATGTAAATAAAAGATCTAATTCTCTACCTTCTGTTAAATTTTGAGTAATTTCCGTTGACCGGAAGTAGTAATTTACGCTACTTCCGATTTCTCAAAAAACTAATGTAAATTTTTAAAGAACTAACAATATTGCGCACTATTATGCACTTTTTTATTTGGCGTTCACTTGGTGTGCAATTCTTTTTCTATGAGATTTTATTCTATTTCTAAAACTTTAAGTATTTAAAATAGATTAAAAAATCATGTCTATAGCCCGAGTTCCCATCCCCTGTTGTTTTATATAAGAATATTCGAGAAAGGTTAGGGGAGATCACTCCCGGTTTATTTTAATATATCCACCATCAATTCAAAATATTAAGTTCCCTTTTCAAACCTAACGGTCCATGGAACATGTTGAGTTCACCTGTTACTGTGACCTCGGCATATATAGGGATAATGTGGTCAGCACTATGCCCAGCCGACTTTACTTTCCTTATCGTGAGGCAGCTACCCATCAGAGGTGGGTGGACTCATGAACATTCTACTGACTTGAACCCGGATTTGAACTCGAGACTTTCGGGTTAGCAGTGTAGCGGGCAACTTACCACCATTCATTACCTCTGAAAGTGGAACCTGCATTGTACTCACTCACTCTGCTCACACCAAGGCAAGTTGACACCGGATTCGATTTTATGTCGATACTCTATGTTTGAATTAAATTTTCTTAAAGTTAATTATTTTAAATTTAAACAAAAAATAAGAAAAAAATTAGCAAAAAAACATTAAGTTTAAAAAAAAATCACAATTTTTAACCACTTTAATTTTAACATTGTCAACAGCATTTTTTTTAACCCTGGGTGATAGTTCCGTGTTTAGTGGAGGGGTCAAATGTCACATTGAGTACCACAGGTGAACCAGATCTGACGGTTACACTTGTCGAAGCAGTTGTATACCTGTAAGAGAACATAAGAAGATGAGAGTAGGAGAATTTAGAGGGAAATACGCACATTTTAGAACTTCAGAGATACACAAGATTAAAAATGAAAAGATAAAAATAAGGTAAAAAAGAGGACGGCAACATGACGAATCACGTAAATAAGAATGACAGAAGTCACGAAGATAGGAAGTTAAAAAATGTATGATCACGATTTTTTTTTTCTTTTGTTTTTTAAATGAATACAACAGAACCAATTTACGCGAACTTTACTAGCGCTTGGACGAATGCTAACCACCAATACACCCGTAGCTAGGTCAGCGACCCCATTACTAACGTGCCTAGACAATACTCACCTGTCTCTAGACACACGTCAACTAATAACACACCAGCACACGTCGCTTACTAGCACACCTGCACACGTCACCTACTAGCACACCTGCACACACACTTACTAACACTTGTACACTTCGCCAACTAGCATACCTGTACACTTCGCCTACTAGCACACCTGCACACGTTGCCTAGTAGAATACCTGTACACGTCACCTAATAGCACTCCTGCATACGTCACTTACTAACACACCTGCACAAATCATCTACTAGCACACCTGCACACGTCACCTAATAGGACATGTGCACACGTCACCTACTAGCACACCTGCACACATCTGCTAGCACACCTGCACACGTCGCCTACTAACACACCTGCACACGTCACTAGCACACCTGCACACGTGACTTACTAACACACCAGCACAAATCACCTACTAGCACACCTGCACACGTCACCTACTAACACACCTGTACACGTCAACTACTAACACTCCTGCATACGTCACTTGCTAACACACCTGTACACGTCACCTACTAGCACACCTGCATACATGCCCTAGAAGAACACCTGCACACGTCACCAACTAGCACACCTGCACACGTCACCTACAAACACACCTGCACACGTCGCTTACTAGCACACCTGCACACGTCACTTACAAACACACCTGCACTCGTCACCTACTGAAACACCTGCACACGTCACCTACTAGCACACCTGCATACATGCCCTAGAAGAACACCTGCACACGTCACCAACTAGCACATCTGCACACGTCACCTACAAACACACCTGCACACGTCGCTTACTAGCACACCTGCACACGTCACTTACAAACACACCTGCACTCCTCACCTACTGAAACACCTGCACACGTCACCTACTAGCACACCTGCATACATGCCCTAGAAGAACACCTGCACACGTCACCAACTAGCACACCTGCACACGTCACCTACAAACACACCTGCACACGTCGCTTACTAGCACACCTGCACACGTCACTTACAAACACACCTGCACTCGTCACCTACTGAAACACCTGCACACATCACCTACTAGCACACCTGCATACATGCCCTAGAAGAACACCTGCACACGTCACCAACTAGCACACCTGCACACGTCACCTACAAACACACCTGCACACGTCGCTTACTAGCACACCTGCACACGTCACTTACAAACACACCTGCACTCCTCACCTACTGAAACACCTGCACACGTCACCTACTAGCACACCTGCATACATGCCCTAGAAGAACACCTGCACACGTCACCAACTAGCACACCTGCACACGTCACCTACAAACACACCTGCACACGTCGCTTACTAGCACACCTGCACACGTCACTTACAAACACACCTGCACTCCTCACCTACTGAAACACCTGCACACGTCACCTACTAGCACACCTGCATACATGCCCTAGAAGAACACCTGCACACGTCACCAACTAGCACACCTGCACACGTCACCTACAAACACACCTGCACACGTCACTTACTAGCACACCTGCACACGTCACTTACAAACACACCTGCACACGTCACTTACTAACACACCTGCACACGTGACTTAATAACACACCTGCCCTGCACACGTCACCTACAAACACACCTGTACACACATAACCTTCTCTAGTCCTAACGCACCTACACACACTTTATTAGCACACCTTGACAAAATCTACCTACCCAGCAACACTGTAACTGATGTTGTAAGTGCCTGGTGTCAGAAGTCTCCAGTATTCTCCAAGATCTGACGTGGTGATCACGTGATTGATGCCAGACACACGCACCTGGGCGTTAGTGATTGGAGCACCCTGGCTTGTCTTGATGACGCCTTTAACTCCCATATGTGTCTGTACACAATCACAATCATCAACATTTATAATAGACTCTACATATCTGTCTAGTGAAATACATAAGGTATGTCTCTCGAAACTGATCTTATCTCTACAAAGCCTTAGATATTCTGGCACCGCCTACCTGCTCTATGTAGGTGAGGAGAGCGTTTCTGTTGTCATTCCAGAACGAGGCGAGGTTGTTCCTAGTCGGGTACTTGCAGCAGGAGATCTCCAGGGTAATCTCAAAGGTGTTGCTGTGTAAGTAGTTGTAGTCCTGCATGCCACCTGGTGAATAGCAACATCAGGTGCTGTTGTAAAACTTGAAGATTTCAAACATTTTGATTTTAAATTAAGTGTTGTACCCGTGTATAACAGAGTGACGTCTCATGCAGGAAATATTGCTAGTCGCCATACTTCAACAGAAAACAAAATTATCAGCCATGTTGGTTACTGCCCTTTTTGTAGATAACTTACCAGCAACAGTATACCATTCAGCACCATTGATTATTCCCCCTGGGAAGTTGTCCGTTCCCCCGCATTGTTTGCCGAGGTGCATCGTGGGATGGGCGTTGGCGTAGGATTTGGCCAGGGACTTGAAGGTGGCGTCGTCAGGTGCAGCCGCGTACAGCCCCTGGCAACAGATAATATTAACATTATTTGCATATTCATTCAAGAAAATTGGATAAATCTGTAATGAGTATTCGTCCTTTTTTTTTAATAACCAACTTATTTCAACACAATTATTTGGTAAATGAAACTGACCCTAGCTTTAACTCTAACCCTGAACTTAACCTTCCACATAATTAAACTCCGATACATTTGCCAACTAATGCTTGTCATAAATATTACCCGAGTTCTAACCTTAACCCTGATCCTAAACTTAAATCTTAATTAATCTATTTTTTTCCAAACTACTTCTGATTGGGCTAAATTGTCTAATACATTAACCCATTGTATCTTCCATTTACGAATGGTTCCACCAAGGTACACAACTGTGCGCATCAAATATAAATAATTTACTTTACAATCTCGGCCACCGATAATGAGATGTGTACTACAAAATTAATCCCCAATTTTCCTTTTACTTAAAACAGAAGTTGCTATGGATAGTAATTACATACAAAACAATTTTAAATCGTATCTACCAACTTCGAAAGTGTGTGGGATGGGAAAATTGGTGTCAAACATAGGACACTTTCTTACTCCCCTAACCCCCCCCCCCCCTTGAGTCCATAAGACATTCAACCCCCGATGTGGCATCGTCTATAAAAAAAGGTTCAACTTATCTTGTCAATTATTAAACTCTACTGCACCTAACGGCACCTAATGTTGTTGAGATATCATTTACTTTATTCTAAATCACAAGGAAGGTAACACCAACGTTACCTAGCGTTGTTGAGATATAACTTACTTTATTCTAAATCACAAGGAAAGTAACATCAACGTTACCTAGCGTTGTTGAGATATCATTTATTTTATTCTAGATCACAAGGAAAGTAACATCAACGTTACCTAGCGTTGTTGAGATAACTTATTTTATTCTAGATCACACGGAAGGTAACATCAACGTTACCTAGCGTTGTTGAGATATAACTTACTTTATTCTAGATCACAAGGAAGGTAACATCAACGTTACCTAGCTTTGTTGAGATATAACTTACTTTATTCTAGATCACAAGGAAGATAACATCAACATTGAGTTGATTACTGACTTAACTTGTTTGGTGGATGTTAGCCGAGGCGATGTATGTACACTACAAATGCTTCGTTATATAACTTAAAGTGTTACCCACTGAAGTAATGCCACTGTACTGGTGGTCGTCGAACGGGTAGTTAGCCACTAAAGTCCCTCCGTGTAGGTTTGCTGATAGAACAAAGTTTGGTTGGGTTTTGATCCAGTTCATGACGGCTTGTGTCTCCACCTGGATGTCGCCAGTTGACCAGTACTGATCGGGAAAGTTGCGGTTCAAATCCACACCTGGAGAGTTGAATACGTGCGGTCAAGCTCATCATAATGGAACTCAAAATACGTTATTTTTTAAATATAATGACATATACAAATGAATTAAATGGCTGTGCCACTGAGAATTTATATTAAAAATCAAAATGATGTATGTGGCAGAGGCTTTATATGGACTTGACAAAATGTATTTTCTCCATCCTGATTAAGAATCATCAAAAAGATACGTAGGCCTACTATATATATGTACATTATATATATATATATATATATATATATATATATATATATATATATATATATATATACATACACATATATTTATACAAATAGTGGTTTCTTGTTGAGTTTTCACTACTGAATATTAACAATTAAAGCTTACTTTACGCTGTTTATTTTCCGCTCCTCAAGATGCATACAAATAGACCGCATATATGACATACATTCGGCAATCAACGTATGGTTTTTTCATAATATAATGTAACTATTTATGAAAAACGTAAAGTTGATAATATTTATAATTGTATTCTCCAATGTTTCATTATAGAAATTTGGAAACTAGCTGTCAGAATTTCGTTTCATTTCTTCCCATCTTCCCCAAAAGACAGAGGCTGAACAAGACAGAGGCAAAGTGAGTTAGTGAGACAGGGAACAGCAAAACAATGGCATAGGTAAGTTATTAGTTTGTCATATGATGTATCAAATTTGCTACATTAGATCTTTATTTAATTACTAGTGCAACAAATTATGGGTGGCCATGCTTTATGTCTATCTCGTTATTGTTTTCAAATCTATGCAAATTAATTTAATGAAGTGATTCTAGTTGACTTTAAAGAAAGATCTTTTCATCAAACATTTTATTAAACAGTAATACTACGTTTTCATTTGTAAATCACCATCATATGATGTGAGAATTTGTTGAAAACATAATATAATAAACAAAGAATTATTAGGTACGCATGTGTTTTTTTTTCACTGAAAAAAAATAGGTTACTATTTATACGACAATGTAACACTACAAATTACAGGAAGGTAGAGTTACCTTTATTCTTACTACACCCCTTCAACTTTACAAATCAATGAGAGCTAGAGTTACAGTTATTGTTCCTACTTTAAACAAACTTTACTAATCACAAGAAGCTAGAGTTACCGTTAATGTTCATGTGATAAATAAACTATACAAATAACTGGAAGCTAGAGTTACCGTTATTGCCACAACACTTAACCAAACTATGCAGCTCACAAGAAGCTAGAGTTACAGTAATTGTTCCTAAGTTAAACCAACTCTACTATGATCATGATTACCATTCTTGTTCTTACATCCCACTATTTTCACAAATCACTGACAGCTAGAGTTTCCTTTATTGTTCCTACTTTTAACCAACTGTATTTATCACACGAAGCAAGAGTTACCGTTATTATTCCCACGTTTAAACCAAGTTTACAAATCCCACGAATCTAGAGTTACCGTTATTGTTCCAACGCTACACCAACTAAACTAATCACAAGAAACTAGAGTTACCGTTATTGTTCCTACGTTAGACCAAATACACAAATCACTGACAGCTAGAGTTACCGTTATTGTTCCAACGTTAGACCACCTACACAAATCACAGCTCCTACTTTTAACCAACTTTACAAATCACACATAGATAGAGTTACCGTTATTGTTCCTACGTTAGACCAAATACACAAATCACTGACAGCTAGAGTTACCGTTATTGTTCCAACGTTAGACCACCTACACAAATCACAGCTCCTACTTTTAACCAACTTTACAAATCACACCTAGATAGAGTTACCGTTATTGTTCCTACTTTAAACTAACTTAATTTGTAGGACGAAGCTAGACTTACCGTTATTGTTCTTTCGCCCCAATATGCTGTCACAATCCCCTTCCCTCGAGATCTCGAACCCGTCAGGATTCATGGTCGGCATCAGGTGGATGTCCGTCGTGTCCACCAGCTGGGTCACCCTGGGGTCAGTGCCGTAGTTGTAGAGCAGGTACTGGGCCAGGTACAGGATGACCTCCCTGCCCACAGCCTCGTTGCCGTGGATGTTGCCGATGTATTTGAACCTGGGTTCACCGACCTCCCTCTCGTTCACTCGGTCGGATATCTGTTAATCAAGAAAGTTCTCTTCTCAACATACACCTGTAGTGTTGTTTCCTTACTAAATAATAACGCGTCTACACATTATATATATATATATATATATATATATATATATATATATATATATATATATATATATATATATATATATATATATTTATATATATATATATATATATATATATATATATATATACCCTATGTATCCCTCTCTCACTCTACATATTTCTCTATTTTTCTTTTTTGTTCTTTCTTACACTCTCTCTCTCTCTCTATCTTTATATATATACTAGACTACTCGTCATCCGTTGGATAACTGGGTTTCGGGGGTCATCCATCAAAAAACATCACGTCTGTCAGTCAGAGGCATAGCGACCCTTCCCGGCACCCGGGGACAAACTTTTCGATTTTAACCCCCCCCCCCCCCCAAGATTTCGATTTTCAACCCCCCCCCCCCCCCTCAAACTTTTGATGTGCACCCCCCCCCCCCACTCAAACTTTCGATTTGAACCCCACTCAACCTTTCAATTTATTTTTCCAAACCATTTTGGCGCTCCAACATATGTCCCCCCCGCCCACCCCCTTCCCCCCTCCACCCGCCTCCCCTCCCCTCCCCTCCCGGCCCCCCCCCCCCTCCTCCTCGCTACGCTACTGCAGTGTCACTTATCGTCACAAAAAACAGACCCCACATTCAAAAATATGTTTCTTATCTTTTCAAAACACCGAAAACACCGATTTCGGACTATCCCTTCATATACTGACGTCACAGGTGACCTACTCAACTCTACTTCACCTGCCCAGTGTCCTGCCAAGTCTCAGACAACATGTTTTTATCGTTTAAAAAACAATTCCAGCCGAGCATGTCTCTGACCACACTATCCTTTCATATGCTTAGGACAAAGAAACAGATGAACTCTACTTCACCTGCCCTGTATCCTACCAAGTTCAGATAGGCAACTTTATCATTCACATCTAAAAAAAAATTGAAAACAAAATTATCATTGATATTGGTCTAGAACCCGTGCCACTTGTATGAGAGCCGACTACTCTACCAACATAGCTATTTACTCGTGACGTCACAAGTGAATTTTTATACTATACTTTGAGTCTCGTTATGCAACTTTATTTACGCGCATAGATCTAGATCTAACTTCTAAGTCTAGTAGTAGTAACTTTCAAACTAAATTTTATCTTAAATTAGCCAAACAAAGATTTATATAAAATAAAGAAGGTTTGAAATGATCTAGATCTAGATAGAATTATCTAGATCTAGATTCTACGACTCGTTTTCTTAAGTCTTAAGTTTAGTTTTTCTTGCTAGATCTAGAATCTAGATCTAATCATTAGCTACGCTAATAGGCCCGGAGCGAGCATTTCAAAATTACCATATTCCAAACAAACATTTATATAAAATAATAATTTAATAAAGGTCTAAAATAGTTTAGTATATAGAAAATCATTATTATCTAAATCTAGATAGAATTATCTATATTTTAGATATACGACTGAGCTATATCTAGAGTTTACGTCTATAATTTTGCACACTTAGCGGTATAGAAGCCGCGTATGAATCTTAAGCTACGCAAATAGATCTAGGCCCTGACTCCAGCATTTCAAAATTTGCATAGGGGCCTAGTCAAAACAAAGATTTATACCAAACAATAAAGGTCTAAAATATTATAGTATATAGAAACTCATTATTATCTAAATCTAGATAGAATTATCTATATTCTAGATCTACGACTGGTTTGCTTAAGTCTCGTTTTTTTGGATTGTATTTATAACTAATAAATCTTGGATTTGACCTAGATCTAGATCTATAAATAACTTTCCTTCGACAGCTGATCTTTAGATCTAGAGAAATTTATTGTAAAACTAAATGAAAAAGACAGTTGAAAATTGATATAATTGTTGGAACGTAATAAATACAGCAAACGGACGTATTGTTTAAGTTATAGCCGGCAGAAAATTAGCTTTGTAACGCGTTAAACTATTGAATGGGCCACAAAGTCTATGATGGAGTCCGCCATTTTTATTGTACCAAAAAGTAAACACATCAAGGGACGTCACTATCCCCACAAAGTTTAGTTAATGTTTTAAAATTTAAAAAAAAATGTGGTTAATTTAACTATGAATAAATCAATAAATTAACTAACGTCTTTAAATAAATTTGTGATTAACAGTCTGTCTTAAAACAAAATTTTTTCTCTACCTACATACTATTTTACAGCTTTCCACGATGAGTGCAACCATGCGAGATAGTCAATCAGCCAAACAAACAAACAAATAAATATTCAAACGTGTAAACAAACTTGACTTTTAGTAGTAGTATATATATATATATATATATATATATATATATATATATATATATATATATATATATATATATAAGGCATAAAAACCCATGCAGCAGGTTAAGATGTAAATATTCAAGTGGACCATGTGACAAAGGTAAAGAAGAACAGAGTGAATAGATTGCACGTGATGTGAACTCGTTATACTTGTTCTAACGCTACTCACGCGCTAAACACACTGGTTAAAGTACACTTCGTTTAACCATGAGCTGTGAAAATGTGTTATTTTTGTTTTAGCTCTGAAATTTCAATAAAAAATATTTGTATTCTTTGCTTCAGACAGGCTTTGCTGACACTCTATGGAACTGAGATGGTTCATCTATTTCTGTGAGCTTGGTAAATGTTGGGATAATGTGGTCAGCAGTATGTCCAGCTACTATTCTCTCCTAGCATGAATCGGCAGTATATAGTTGTGTGCAGAAATAAATATGTGTCTTTGTATATATACGTAACATATATATACATATGTATATATTTATATATATATGTATATCTACATATATCTATATATACATATGCATGTATATATATATATATATATATATATATATATATATATATATATATATATATATATATATATATACATATAATTAGATCGATGTTTAGGTAATATTATTATAAATCACTCTATTAGAAATGAATCAATAGTTTTAAAATTGCTGACAAATCATCAAAGAAACAGAATGGAAAGCTTGCGAAAAACAACATATGTCATTCAGTAACAACTATCATGTGGCAATGTATGTGTTGTGCGCGGATGTAATTCTACCAGCCACCTAACGTGGACGGAGGACACATGTTTGTTACATAGTTGATGATCTGAGCTCAGTGTGAAGACAGCTTAGGCTTTTGTCGCTTGGGTGATTTTGATCTTCACATACGAGCGAGAGAGAGAGAGAGAGAGAGAGAGACAGAGAGCATTAATTTATCGTCGTATTGATTGGGGGACGAATGAAGCGTCCAGCGTATGGTGTCAACATCGTTCTGACGTTATGTATGTGACTTTGTGGTGTGTCGGGTCATACAATTTTAGTAGAGTTTCACACACACACACACACACACACACATACCACAACACACACACATATATTCAGTGACACAACATCACACACACACAACCATACCCGTACACCCACACTCACACCCACACCCACCCACAACACACGCACACACCGACCGACCCACCCATCCACACCAGTCAAGGTCTATTGTCACAGCAAGCAACTCCGTGTCCACACTGTCAGTATAACAAGTTTTTTTAAAGTATTCACTAGAATAATAAAACTGAGATCATACAATAAGAAATAACGTGCAACGTAATTGCAAAAGCTGGAGTGGCAAAACACGCAGCGAGACAGATGGTAAAAACAATAGATAGATTTGTGATCGAATATAAGTAAAAAAAATACATTTTTTTGTGAAGGAAAGATCTTGAATAATGGATTACTTTGTAACGTAGCCAATCTGAATAAAGACTTTTTTTTGACGAAGCCATCCTAAATAATAGACGACTTTCTAAAGAAACGAACCGGTAAAGTTAATGATTTTCTTACTCAACTAACTTCAACTTTCAAACTGAAAAATAAAGGACAGTTTTCTGACAAACCAACCTGTAAAATGGACACTTTACTGACAAACGAACCAGGATAACGGACAATTTACTGACAAACGAACCTGAATAACGGACAACTTTCTCCCACCCATGGAAGTGCCGACGTCATAGACACGAGCCAGATTGGGGTAGTTTGAGACAAGCTGACGTAGGAGCGCCTGCAGGTCGTTGTAGTTGTGGTACTTGTCCGTTGCGATGGTCGGGGTCGCTCTCTTGGACACACTCGCAGACTGGACAGTGGTCAAAGCGCAGACGGCAGTGACAAGGAAAGTCAAGGAACCCATCTTGTTTCAAGTTCACTGCCCTTTACAATTTAATGGTGGAAAAAAATCAATTTTAATTTATACAAATAAATATAATATATGAATTAAGACATTTTTATTTCAGTTAAATGGTTTTTCAACTTTTGAAAACATCAATGAAAACTTCAGAAATAATGAGCTATTTTTTTTACATGTTATTGATCCTGTGAAGTAATCCAGCTGTTCTGCTGAGTAAACATAATCTTGTGAATTTAATTAACCACCATGATTTAATTAAGCCGACCAATCATGTAAATGAGTTTGGTACAAATATTTGCAACCAGCTGTTCATCTGAGAAATAAATTATCTTCAATTAATGAGGAAGCGGGTCGTCTAATTCTACAGCCACCTGTCAAAGCTATTGTTTGAAATCACTTATACACTTTACATACCTAATCCGGTAGGCTTTATTTCTTCAGCATACCCATACAGCATAGCTCATTTAAATTTATGGCTAATCTCTACTTAACCAATCGTTTTGATTTCAAACCTAATTAAATCCGGGAAATGTACTTAGACCTAACTGTGTTTTTACATCAAATGACGTTTACACTTACAAATAGATTACCCTTACCTTTACTAAAAACCAGATCACCTATCTAAAATCAATCAAACGATCACCTACCTAGCTCCTGTTACGTAACGCCGTCCAAGTGCGACCTGAATGATCGACCACTGCTTTTATAAACGGGACCGAAAAACTCGATCGTGTTTGCGTCATGAGAACAATGGTACAACACACACACACACACACACTCATCAACGGGACACAATCATTCAAACAGATGTTCATCACACACTCTCGGCTGAAGGGAAGAACACATTGCTTTATGAGCCTCAGCTAGTGTGTATGTATGTGTGTGTGTGGGGGGGGGGGGGCGTGTAAGGGGGAAGGTGACTGTCAGCGGGACATGTTGTTTATTATTCTTACAATAACAGCCAGTGTTATGAAAGGAATGTTAGTGTGACGAAAACTAAGGGGAAATAATCTGTCTTTTTTTCAGGGGAGAGTAATCAAAACATTAGCATGAAACTTATTATATATATATATATATATATATATATATATATATATATATATATATATATATATATATATATATATATATATATATATATATATATATATATATATATATATATATGATTTTATATATATGTATATATATATATATAACTATATATATATATATACATATGACTTTTTTATATATATGTATATATATATAACTATATATATATATATATATATATATATATATATATATATATATATATATATATATATAAAATCATTGTTTAACTATGTTAACACAAAGTGGGCCTGCAATTATTGTACTATTTAATGTGTTAAACTGTTATTGTAAAAGCGAATTGGAAGAATGTTTGATTTGAGTTGTCTCATTGTAATCAACATATCACCCAGACTACTAATAACATTTATAATATAATAAGTTTCTTTACTCCCATATTTATCTCAGCTCAATTCATAAGCCCATACCCCCTCAACCCCACCCTACCGAACAGAACGTCGAATCACTATTTAATCACATCTTTGCATATTCAGATTTAATAATAAAATTGTAATTAAACGTTTTATGTTATGTAGAAGTAAACCATCTTAAACGAATGAAAGCAGGCTACACGTAAGAAAGAAATATTACTATTGTAAATCTGTATCAGTCCTCACTAGCCGATGATGAAAACTGTAATACTAAAGCGAGCATGCAAGGTAAACGGACGCTGTAAATTACATGTCTGAAGTACGCACGCACGCACGCATGCACACGCACGCACACACACATACACACATACATATATACATACACACTCATACACAAACACACACAAACCCCAAAATTGACCATACTTTGAAATAATTATAAAATAATAAAACAAAATTGTAAATATATGATATATTGCCAAAGATGTTTATAAAAATAACATTGATATATTTTCCTAACAAATGAAAATTAAAATATTGTTATATTTACCCCTATATTGTGTGTCACACTTATACTTTCCATGTTTTTATAAAATTTTATTTTTTTCTATATAAATGCAACATGGGCGATAACTAAAATATATTTCAGTCAAGTATCTCTTATATATGCCTATCACGTCGCGATGACGGATATCTGGCACACAGGTAAAAAACGTGTCCTTAAATTTCCTTAACTGTTAGGATACACCTATGTTGGCTGAACGTGACGTCACGCACAGGTTAAATAGTAGAATAATTGATGACTGATTACAGAAGCAGATAACGTAAAGGCGACACGAGAGTGTTTTTAAAAGGCTTTAGTTCGACACATTGTAGATTTCTCACAAGCTAAGGGCTAGTCGGTGACAAATAAAGCCTAGATAAAAGAAATAGTTAAGATTGTTTCGCTAGTGTTGCTGTATTATTTTGTTAGGATTGGCGCATTTCTATTAGGGATTTATTTGATTTTTTGTTTGTTTGTTAGTATGAGCAGAAATGTATTAATTGTGTGTGTGTGTGTATGTGTGTGTGAGTGTGTTTGTGATTTATGAAAATTATGTGAGTTTATGGTGTTAATTCGATTGATTGGTTGTATGTGTCAGTTTATGTGATCTATAATTTGATATACAGGCCTATGCGTACTCGCTTTTTAATGATTAACGTTTGTAGACACAGATTAGTGCCGGAACATGCCCTAAGAGGAATACACATTCCTATCATTCATTGACTGATTTTAGCCTGCTTTTCTTTTCTTTTTGCATTTGCTTACATAGCCTTTGCCCAACCAAGAACAAACTACAGGCCAGTAGTTGTTTGATTTTGGAAAATCTGCCAGAGTCGAAATGTCAACAACTATTTTCGATGCTTCAAATACATTAACAGGCATACAACGCCACATATACTACCCAGATTAAAAAAAACATAAAATCTTGTCCAACTTGATAACTTACTAGAGGTATTAAATAGCATGTCAAGTTTGAATACTTATGTGTACATCGGAGTAAAAAGGGCTCATGTTTTAAAGACAAAACCTACCTAAACGTTATAACCAGAGTTACTTTCAGGCATCTTTTAGATGTAGGGGTTGAGGGGCACTTGTCGCATCACTACTTAACCTGACTCACACTCACCCCCACCTCTCCCACCTCTAAGGACACATTTGTCACCAACACCTTATAAACATACCTGGACACACGTCACTTTCTAAAACACCTGCACACATCCTCTACAAACATACCTGGACACACGTCACTTCCTTACAAACCTGCACACATCCTCTACAAACATACCTGACACACGTCACTTCCTTACAAACCTGCACACATCCTCTACAAACATACCTGGACACACGTCACTTCCTAACACACCTGCACATATCCCTACAAACACACCTGCACACCTCCTCTACAAACATACCTGGATGTTGTAAACTATGAACAGTACATTTTTTTTAAATACATGAAATACGAACCAAAAGTGAAACAAACAAAAAATCACAAATTTTACAATTTTATTTTTACATTGATAAAAGTTTAATTATAACATTGTACACATCACTTTCAACCCTGGGTGATAGTTCCTTGTTTAGTGGAAGTGTCAAATGTCACATCGAGTACCACAGGTGAACCAGAAATGACGGTTACACTTGTTGAAGCAGTTGCATACCTGTCAGAGAACATGAGAAGATGAAAGTAGGATAATTTAGAACGACTTACAAGAACTTAAAAATGTAAGGATTCAATAAGAAGATTAAAAAACAAACATTAAAAAAATCAAATTTAACGTGAAAAGATAAACATAAGATAGCGTAAAGAAAAGGATGAGAATATTTTAAATTAAGAAAAAAATAAAATAAAAAGTTGAGAAGATTAAAAAAGAATAACATTATATTCACGAAGTAAAGAGCTTGAATAAATAATATGAAATACCCAAGAAAATATTCTCACGCCATACGCACCAAAGTATCAGTTGACAGCAAGCAAAACCAGTCCAAACATTACACAACACATCACCTACAAATATACCTGGACAAGTCTCCAATCCAATGACGCCCATCGCGTCACTTTCTATATATACGTTGCACTTTTAATACACCTATATATTTACCCTTCGAGTATAGCTGGCACTTCTAATAACCAATACACGTCCTCCTCTAACATGCATGGATGCAGTCTCTTTTTATATTATACATACACCTGGAAAAACCACTTTCTTAAATAGTTGGACAAATGTCACCTGACTCAGACCAAGTAACATGGATTCGTCACCTACTAACTCACCTGGATAAACCACTTACTTACATACCTGAACACTGCAGCTACTAAATTACCATACAATGTCACGTTCTAAGTCACCTAGAAATGTAACTTACGAACATTCCTCAACACGTCAGTTACACACCCGAAAGTACACCCTCTATCCCAGTTCATTTAAGAATAGACACTCACCCTGTACAAACATACCAGGACATACTGTACCTACCCCTCAACACTGAAACTAATACTATAAGTTCCAGATATAAGAAGCCTCCAGTATTCTCCAAGATCTGACGTTTTCATCGTGTAATCAATGCCAGACACACGGACTTGTGCATTAGCGATTGGAGCACCGTCACTTGTCTTGACTACACCTTTAACTCCCATATGTGTCTGTACACAATTTTGATTCATTAACATAACTATTCAACAACTAATTAATTGCCTTTATTTACACAATATGCTCTATATGGGGAGCTGTAAAATAGTATTTAGGTAGAGAACAATTTTTGATTGCAGACAGACTGTTAATCACACATTTATTTAAAGACGTTAATTAATTTATTGATTTATTCATAGGTAGATTAACCACTTTGAAATTAAAGTTTTAGAACAATGGCTTAACTTTGACTGAATAGTGACGTTTGATAACTCATTTTTTTTTTATTTGTTATTGGGGAAAATCTGCATTATGTGTAGAGCTGTAAAATAGGATTTAGTTTGGTAATGCTTCTGGCATTGGTTACCTGTTCTATATAAGTGAGTAGAGCGTTTCTGTTGTCGTTCCAGTACGATGCGAGATCGCTGCTGTTTGGGTACCTGCAGCATGAGATCTCCAGGGTAATCTCAAAGGTGTTGCTGTTGAGGTAGTTGTAGTCCTGCATGCCACCTGGTGAATAGCAACATCAGGCGCTGTTGTAAAACTTGAAGATTTCAAACATTTTGATTTTAAATTAAGTGTTTGACCCATGTATAATAGAAAGACGTCCCAAGCAGGTGATATTGCTAATCACCATACTTCAACAGAAAACAAAAATTATCAGCAATGTTGGTTACTGCCCTTTGTGTAGATAACTTACCCGCAAAGGTATACCAATAAGCACCGTTGGTTATTCCCCCTGGGAAGTATTCCGTTCCCCCGCATTGTTTGCCGAGGTGCATCGTGGGATGGGCGTTGGCGTAGGATTTGGCCAGGGACTTGAAGGTGGCGTCGTCAGGTGCAGCCGCATACAGTCCCTGGCAACAGATTATATTTACATTGTGCATATTTATTCAAGAAATTGGATAACTCTGTAATTCATCCTTTTTTACTTTCTCGTATATTCGAAGTATAGAGAAAGTCTTGTAATCGTACGGATTTACATAATTTTGCAATCTTGTCCGTATGTCTGTGTGTGTGTGTGTCTGTGTGTGTGTATGTGTGTGTGTGTAAACACGAAAACAGCTAGGTTGATGAAATTTCATATATAAGTATTTTATCAAAATCGTAGATCCGTATCAACTTTTCAGCGATTTCCGATAACCGGAACTGGTCCTTTTCTACTTTGAATTTTTCAAAAGCCTATAACTTGAGTACTATTTCAGATAGATTAATGAAATTTCACATTTTAGTAAAAGATTTAATTCTCTACCTTCTGTCAAATTTTGAGTAGTACCGGAAGTATTAATTTACGCTATTTCCGATTTCTCAAAAAACGCATGTAAATTTATAAAGTACCAATAATATTGCGTACTATTATGAACATCTTTATTTGGCGTTCACTTGGTGCGCAATTCTTTTTCCTATGAGATTCTATTCTATTTTAAAAAGTTTAAGTATTTAAAATGGATTAAAAATAATAACTATATCCCAAGTTCCCATCCCCTGTTGTTTTATCTAAGAATATTCGAGAAAGTTTAGGGGAGATCACTCAAGGTTTATTTAACATTGCTCGCACTTTCATGTAAAATACGATAACCAACTAATTTTAACGAAACTATTTGGTAAATGAAACTGACCCTACCTTTAATTCTAACCCTGAACTTAACCTTCAACAACTGATGATGAGAAGTGTTCTGGAACACATTTCCCCCCTTTAATTATTTACTAAAAACAGAAGTTGCTATGTATCGTAATTGCGTATTTAACAATATAAAATTGTATCGATCAACTGCGGTGGTATAGGGGGGGGGGTATGTGAGGGTGGTGAAAAGTTGTCCGACATATGAGACTTTCTAAACGACATTCAATCCCGATGGGGGATCGTCCATCAAAAAGGTTCAACGTTTCGTGTGAATTATTATAGTCACCTGCACCGAACGTTACGATCGTTGTTGTTATATAACTCATTTTATTAAAAATTTAACATCAACATTGAGTTGATTACTGACTCAGCTTGTTTGGTTGAAGTTATCGGATGCTATGCGTGTACAATCTTGCAAATCCTTCTATATATAACTTAAAGAAAACAAAAGTATTACACACTGAAGTAATGTCACTATATTGGTGGTCATCAAACGGGTAGCTGGCCACTAAACTCCCTCCATGCAAGTTGGCGGACAGGACAAAGTTTGGTTGGGTTTTGATCCAGTCCATGACGGCTTGAGTCTCAGCCTGAATGGTGCCGGTCATCCAGTATTGGTCAGGGAAGTTGCGGTTCAAATTCACACCTGGAAAGTTGAATACGTGACGTTAGTTGACTTAAAAGAAAGATCTTTTCATCAAACACAAATATCATCATATGTCGAATTTTTCGAAAACAATATATTCAATAACAAATTGTTAGATACGCGTGTGTTGTTGTTTTTTTTTACTGAAAAAATAATAGGTTATTGTTTATACGACAATGTAACAATACAAATTAGAAGAAGGCAGAGTTACCTTTATTCTTACTATGCCCCTTCAACTGTACCAATAAACGAGAGCTAGAGTTACCGTTCACTAATCATCAGAAGACAGAGTTAACGTTAATGTTCCTGTGCTTAATCTACTAGTTACTATACATTAACTGGAGGCTAGAGTTACCGTTATTGTCCCAACGCTCCACTAAACTATGCAACTCACTAGAAGCAAGGATTACAGTTATTTTTCTAAAGTCAAACCAACTGTAACATATTCAAATGCTAGAGTTGCTATTGCTGTTATTAAATGCCATGATTTTCACAAATTACTTAGAGCTAGAGTTACCGTTATTGTTCAGAAGTTACACCAACTATACAAGTAACTGACAACTAGAGTTACCGTTATTGTTCCTACGTTAAAAAACAACTTTATTTATCACACGAAGCTAGAGTTACCGTTATTGTTCCTACTTTAACCAACTTAATTTTTAGGACGGTGCTAGAGTTACCGTTATTGTTTCTACTTTAAACCAACTCATAGGACGAAGCTAGAGTTACCGTTATTGTTTCTACTTTAAACCAATTTATAGGACGAAGCTAGAGTTACCGTTATTGTTCCTACTTTAAACCAATTTATAGGACGAAGCTAGAGTTATCGTTATTGTTCCTACTTTAACCAACTTAATTTTTAGGACGAAGCTAGAGTTACCGTTATTGTTCCTACTTTAAACCAATTTATAGGACGAAGCTAGAGTTACCGTTATTGTTTCTACTTTAAACCAATTTATAGGACGAAGGTAGAGTTGCCGTTATTGTTCCTACTTTAAACCAATTTATAGGACGAAGCTAGAGTTACCGTTATTGTTCATTCTCCCCACGTCGCTGTCACATTCCCCTTCCCTCGAGATCTCGAACCCGTCAGGATTCATGGTCGGCATCAGGTGGATGTCCGTCGTGTCCACCAGCTGGGTCACCCTGGGGTCAGTGCCGTAGTTGAAGAGCAGGTACTGGGCCAGGTACAGGATGACCTCCCTGCCCACAGCCTCGTTGCCGTGGATGTTGCCGATGTATTTGAACCTGGGTTAACCGACCTCCCTCTCGTTCACTCGGTCAGATATCTGTCAATTAGAAAAGTTGTATTCCCAAACTACTACAGTAGTGTTGTTTCCTACCTAAATAATAACGCGTAAGGGATAAAATAGATAATTATCCCTCTCTCACATTAAATATTTATCTTTTTCGCTTTCTCTCTCTATCTATCTCTTTCTCTCTATCTCTCTCCTTCTCTACCTCTCTCCCTATCTCTCTCTATATATGTATATGTATATATATACATACATATATATATATATATATATATATATATATATATATATATATATATATATATATGCATTTGTATATGTATATATATATATATATATATATATATATATATATATATATATATATATATATATATATATATATATATATAGTTAGATCGATGTTTATGTAATATTGATAGAAATCACAACATCCGAAATAAATTAATACAGTTTCAAAATCGCTGACAAACCATCAAAGAAACAGAATGGAAAGCTTGCGAAAAACAACAGATGTCGTTCAGTAACAACGATCATGTGGCAATGTATGTGTTGTGCGGGGAGGTAATTCTACCAGCCACTTAGCCTGTATAGCGGACACATGTTTGTTACATAGTTGATGATCTGAGCTCAGTGTGAAGACAGCTTAGGCATGTGTCCCTTGTGTTATTTTGATTTTCACACCAGAGCAGGAGAGAGCATCAATTTACCGTCGTATTGATTGGGGGACGAATGAAACGTCGGCGTATGGTGTCAACATAGTGCCGACGTTTTGTATGTGACTTTGTGGTGTGTAAAGTTGAACAATTTTAGTAGAGTTTTAGTAACACCACACCACACACACGCACGCACACACACATATACCACAACACACACACACATGTTCAGTGACACCACACAACACTCTCACAGACATACACGCACGCACACACACACCCATACCCATACACCCACACTCACCCTTACACACGCACAAACCGACCCACCCACATCGGGTTTCTTTGTCACAGCTAGCAACTCCGTGTCCACATGTCAGTATAAGAAGTATTTTAAGTATTCACCAGAATAATAAAACTGAGATCATAGAATAAGAAATTACGGACAATGTAATTGCTAAAGTTACCTTGGTAAAAATCGTACAGAGATAGATGATCAAAATAATAGATAGCTTTATGGTCGAATGTAAACGGAAAAATAATTTTTTGTGTGAAGTAAGGATCTTGAATAATGGGTCACTTTGTAACGTAGCAAATCTGAATAAAGATATTTTTTTTACCAAGCCATCCTAAATAATGGACAACTTTCTATAGAAACGAACCCGTCAGGTGAATAATTTTCTTACGCAAAGAACTTGAATAGTAAACTACTCAAACTGAAAAATAAAGAATAGCTTTCTGACATACTAACCTGGAGAACGGAAAATTTTCGGATAAACGAACAAGAATAACGGACAATTTTCGGACAAACGAACCCGAATAACGGACAATTTTCTGACAAACGAACCCGAATAACGGACAATTTTCTGACAAACAAACCTGAATAACGGACAATTTACTGACAAACGAACCTGAATAACGGACAACTTTCTCCCACCCATGGAAGTACCGATGTCATAAACACGAGCCAGATTGGGGTAGTTTGAGACAAGCTGACGTAGGAGCGCCTGCAGGTCGTTGTAGTTGTGGTACTTGTCCGTGGCGATGGTCGGAGTCTCTCTCTTGGACACACTCGCAGACTGGACAGTGGTCAAGGCGCAGACGGCAGCGACGAGGAAAGTCAAGGAAGCCATCTTGTATAATTTCAATGCCCTCTTCAATTGAATGGTGAAAAAAATGTCAATTTTAATTTATACAAAGAAATACGTGAGAATAAGAAATATTTATTACAGTACAATGGTCCTTCAACTTTAAATAAACCGGGAGTGATCTCCCCTAAACTTTCTCGAATATTCTTATATAACTAGGAATATAGACATGATTTTTAATTACTTAAACTTTTAAAAATGGAATAGAATCTCATAGAAAAAAGAATTGCGCACCAAGCGAACGCCAAAATAAAATGTGCATAATAGTGCGCAATATTATTAGTACTTTATAAATTTACATGAGTTTTTTGAGAAATCAGAAATAGCGTAAATTAGTACTTCCGGTGAACGAAAATTACTAAAAATTTGACGGAATGTAGAGGATTAGATCTTTTACTTACATGTGAAATTCATTTATCTATCTGAAATAGTACTCAAGTTATAGGGTTTTGAAAAATTCAAAGTAGAAAAAGTTCCACTTCCGGTTATCGGAAATCGCTCAAATGTTTATCAGTATCTACAATTTTGATAAAATAGGCCTACTTATATATGAAATTTTATCAATCTAGCTGTAAGGGTACTCAAGTTATCGTGTTTACAAACACACACACAGACACACAGACACACAGACATACGGACAAGATTGCTAAATTATGTTTTTCCGTATCAGTGAGGTGTAGAACGTCGAGATTTGTAAAAGTCTCGATTTTTGTTCACGATAACAATACTTTCTCTATACTTCGTATATACGAGAAAGTAAAAAAGCGCGTATAAATACAATGAGACAACTCAACACTGAAAAACACCATATATAGTGCAAAAAAAAAAAAAAAAAAAAAAAAAAAAAAAAAAAAAAAAAGGAAATTTAATCTCACTAAATCAGATAACGTTTAACATCGATGCAAAAATGTAAGAAATAATGAGATATTTTTTATACGTTATTGATCGTATGGAGTAATCCAGCTGTTCTGCTGGAGAGTACACATAATCATTTGAATTTAATTAACGACCATGATTTAATTAATCCCACCAATCATGTAAATGAGTTTGGTACAAATATTTACTGTTTATCTGAGAAATAAATTATCATCAATTAATGAGGAAGCGGTTCGTCTAATTCTACAGCCACAGGGCAAAGTATTGTTTGAAATCACTTATACACATTACATACCTAATCCGGTAGGTTTTATTACTTCAGCATTCCCATACAGCATAGCTCATTTAATTTTTGGCTAATCTCTAGTTAATGATACGTTTCGATTTTTAAAAAAACCTAATTAAATCCAGGAGATGTACTTAAACCTAACTGTGTAGGTACATCAAAAGACGTTTACACTTACAAATAGATTACCCTTACCTTTACTAAACCCTGATCTCCTATCTACAACCAATCAAACGCTCACCTACCTAGCACCTGTTACGTAATGTTGACACAAGTGCGACCTGAATGATCGACCACTGATTTTATAAACGGGACCGAAAAACTCGTTGTAGTCGTGATACTTATCGATGGCGATGGTCGGGGTCGCTCTCTTGGACACACTGGCAGACTGGACAGTGGTCAGGGCGCAGATGGCAGTGACGAGGAAAATCAAGGAACCCATCTTTTTTCAAATTCGCTGCCCGCTACAATTGAATTATGAAAAAAACTTAATTTATACAAAGAAACACGTGAGAATAAGAAATATTTATTACAGAACAATGGTCCTTCAAATTTTAAAAAGCGCGCATGAATACATTGAAACAACTCAACGCTAAAAAATACCACATATAGTCGTGCAAACAAATAACTTAAATGCAATCTCACTAAATAAAATAACGTTTTTTTAGCGCAATTTTCATTCTGGAGAATTGCGTTTATTAACTCGTCTTTTCTGGGAATGGATGGATGGATGAATGGATGGATGGATGTGTGTCCGCAGCTTTAAGTCGTATCTCCTCCTCAACGAAGCAATATCGATGACTAGTTCCAAAAGCAATTATGTTAAACAAATTACCAGGATGAACATAGGCCATAAAAATTCCGGGTTTCTATCATGGATTTCCCGGAAAAGCCAAAAAACCTCGAAAAAATGCAGTTTTTGGCCCATATCTCGGCAACCAGACCACTTAGCGACTTGAAACATGTACCAATCGATTTCTGCTATAATTTAGAACAATATTGCCGAAGAAAGTTTTAAAAAATATCCTTTCGTTTGGTCACAAAATTTCTTTTGAATTAATTAAAATTTGGACCGAATTAGTAGGCATTTTATGCAACCACACCACACGCGTCATCACGTTCAATAGCTGCGCCATCACATTCAATGGCTGCGACGTCACGTTCGGTAGCTGGGTGCGCAATGGTTTTTAGTCATGTTGCTCTATCTATTGTAAATAAAACATGTAAAATACTGATTAAAAATTGAATAAAAAACGTTTTAATAACTAACCAATGGTTTTACTAACCCTGCTCTTGATTTACGCTACGACAGAGCTATTTTTAGATAACACAAGGAAATTGCGCTAAAATTGTCACTAGACTTTTTTTAATTACTTGTTTTTACTTTGAAGTGAAATGAGCTATCTCTTTTGTTTGATTAGGTTAATACAAAGAGGGCCTGCAGTCAAAGGCGTAGCGACCCTTCCCGGCTCCCGGGACAAACTTATCGATTTGCACCCCCCCCCCCCCCCTCAAGATTTCGATTTGCATCCCCCCCCCTCAAACTTTCGATTTGCACCCCCCTCAACCTTCAAATTTATTTTTCCAACCCATTTTGGCGCCCCCTAAGGTCGGCGCCCGGAGACATATGTCCCCCCCCCCCCGCCCCCACCCCCTCGCTACGCTACTGCCTGCAGTTATTCTACTATTTAAAGGGTTAAACTGTTGTTGTAAAAGCGAATCGGAAGAATGTTTGAGCTATCTCATTGTACTCAACATATCATTCAGACTACTTATAATATTGGTTTTCTTTACTGACCATGGACATCATTGATTTTTTTTTTAATTTTTATTTTTATATAGAATTATAAAATCAGTGCACTTATATTCAGTAATTGTTTGTATATGTAGATTGAAAACTAGTTATAAAAAGTCAGGCATGTTATTTGGAACCAGAAATAACAACAGAGTTCTAACTTACAAGAACCATTGAATGTATTTAGGCAAACTTTTACGCAGTTAATTTTTTTTTAATCTACTAGTTCTGTTTGGATGTTAAATGAATCCAGAATGATTGAAGAGAAATATAATTAGCATTATATCAGTTTAATAACATAATGATCCGTCAGATTAATTAAAGACTATTAATAATAATAATAATAATAAAAGTAGTTTTCTTTACCTCCATATTTATCTCAGCTCTATTTATAAGCCCATACCCCTCAACACCATCCACCTAACATATGATATGATATATTGCCATAGATGTTTTTAAGTAACATTGGTGTATTTTCCTAAACAAGTAAAATTAAAATATTGTTATATTTAGCCCTATATTGTGTGTCTAACTGATAGTTCACTCTGTTTCTTAAACAATTTCTTTTTTTCTCTGTAAATCCAACATGGGCGATAACCAAAATCTAATTCACGTATCTGTAATATATAAGCGGCTAGTTAGTGTGTCAGTCCGTCATCGCTATAGATTTTGGAACCATAAAAGTAAACACATCACACGTCGTGCTTTTTACCTGCATCGCAGTGAATTATTATAAGTATTAGAGTAAAGTTTGTTTATATAACGACTTAAATTTATTTCATAGTTGCCACTGTTTTTACTCTTTCGCATAACGTAAAGAAAATATTACATACACGCAAATACCTAAAAACAAATTAAACAGATCAATGTAAAATATCATTTTCGTTTTGATTCCGATAAAAAGTGGATACATTTTTAATAACATAATAACAGTAGGGTAGAAAAATCTAATTAATTAAACTGTTTTGTAATTTTTCCAAGGGAGGTAATTTAAAAATAAATTCAACTCACGCTAAAAAATCTCCAAGACGGAATATTTGTTGGAATAATATAATTAGCAAAATATGAATGCAAAGTATGTAGACGTGTAAGAGGACATTATTGTTGGTATATTCTAATTAGCATGGATTGATAAAAGTCTATCTGTTATTTATTTTATTCACTGAACGTACTGTTTACTAATTATAATTTTTAATCAACTATTCCCCACTATTATATAAAGTCATCACGTTCATTAGGTGCACAATGGTTTTAGTCATGAAACTTTATTGTAATTTTTTAAAAGTACTGAAAAAAATGCATGAATTGATAAAATGCAATATGGTATGTAAAACACGTATATTTTAAATACAGACATTTAATTTATTTTATACACCGAACGTACTGTTTACTAATTATTATTCTATCTTTTGGTTTGCAGAGAAGCTAGGGGTTTTATAGTCATTCACGGAGTCATGCGAGTCTGCCGGCGCTCGGACAGGGCGCGATTTGGCGCCACGGGCTAAACTGTGAGCACTATGCTTTTATGATTGCATTTAAATTGTGTTTATGTTATGAGTGTTGTGTTTGTTTTTCGTTTGTATTTTTTTCTTGTTTTTGCGTTCGTTTGTGTTGTGTTTAGTTTTGTTCTGTTCTCTTCCCAAGTTGGCACATTTAAAAAAAGATTTACCGTGGCGATGATGGATATGTAACACACGGGTAAGAAACGTGTCCTTAAATTTACATAACGGATAGGATACACCTATGTCGGCTGAACGTGACGTCACGCAAAGGTTAAATAGTAGAATAATTGGTGAATGATTACAGAAGCAGATAACGTAATGGAGACAAGAGAGAATTTTAAAAAGGCTTTAGTTTGACACCTTGTGGGTTTCTTACAAACTAAGGGCTAGTCGGTGACAAATAAAGCCTAGATAATAGATTGATAAATAAGACTGTTTCGCTAGGATTGCTGTATTATTTTGTAAGGATTGACGAATTGCTATTGGGGATTTATTTGATTTTTTGTTTGTTTGTTAGTATGAGCAGAAAGGTATTAAGTGTGTGTGTGTGTATGTGTGTGTGCGTGTGTTTGTGTTTTATGTGAATTATGTTAGTGTATGATGTTAATTCGGTTGATCTGGTTGTATGTGACAGTTTATGTGACCTAATATTTGGTACGTATCCCTATATGCATTTGCATGTTTTATTATTAACGTTTGGAGGCACAGATCAGTGCTGAACATGCTCTAAGAGGAATACACATTCCTTGCTTTCAGTGTCAGAGAAAATTATCATTTTAGAATAACTGTAACAACATGTATTCTTTGTTGTTGTGGGTTAGTTTTCACACAGGAATACAAGCAATAGTGGCAACTTCAAATGATGACTTTATTTACACTATATACAGTGAGAATGATAAATCCATGGTTATTCATGGTAAATCCATATTAGAAGATACTCAACAAGTACAGTCACAGTCACGGCTCCAAGTCATGGAGACATTTTACATTCACTGATACAGTTTAAGTTCCAAGTCCTAGCACACAAAACCCGTTCACCTTTTTGCTCTCCCTTTTATTCACAACTTTCTCTCCCCTTACGTCAATGAGCGATCTCACCCAAAAGCATGAAAAAACACATGACGATCGCTCAGACAGTCCTTCCGCTAGCCAGGTACTCTTCATTCATGCAAAACACAATATAATAAGGATACATAATAATACAGTCTGTGACAATAACAAGAAACTAAGTCAGGTGTGTTTTTTTTATGTGAAAGAGAAACGACGAATTATGTTAAGTTTTTAACAAAATACGGCACATAAAATTCACTTTTCTTATATCCATTGAATCTTATTAGTAAAGGTAAATTTACAATGCAACTTTTAAATTTCTAGCTTTTCACTTTTATAATGTTGAAATTTCTAATGGGTTTGCTAGACCAAGATTCGATTAAATAAAACAAAGCTATTAAGCTTGATGAAGTATGTTTTTATTAAAAAAATAATTAAGATTAAGTTTATTTTCACTTGAATATAAAATATTGGAGTCTTCTTCTTCGACGTTAATTTTTGTTGGAAGGGATCCCCTCCAACACAGTTAAGTATACGTGTCTACTGGTTATGCGCCATTGAGGATATTCGATTTCAGCTTGTTTTTTTTTATTGAATTGGCTCTCATAGTCTTTGTCCAACCAAGAACAAACAACAAGGCAGCAGTTGTTTGATTTTGGAGTTGTATCTCCTAGAAGAGTGGCTGTCCCCAGCTAACGAACATTTTCGATTTAGCAACCATGAGCTTTACTGACGCGACCACAATTAAACAGTTTAATTTTTATTCAAAGTTTCGGGACGTCGATGCCAGATGGTAGTGCTTCACTGTAATACGAAAGTTTTAGTTGGGATCCTCGGCTAGAGTCTGTAGCACTCCCTTGAAATTACTCAGGTTTATTGGGTACCTGACTCAAATAGGGTAAGTGAAGTCGTGTAGGCATAAATCTAACAATACTATCCATTCATAGGTCGAAGTCGCAGAAGTAGAGAAACTACATAATGTGACCCATCATCTGCCGAAAACGTCAACAACCAGTTTTCTGTGCTTCAAATAAATTAAGTGGCATAGAATGCCACGGATACTACTCATGTCTAACTAATCATTATAATATTGTAATCTTGCCTATCTCGATATCGTACAAGAGGTATTAATTATTTTTGTAATTGTCAGTGGAAGAAATATCATGTGAAGTTTGAATACCTAACAGTACATCGGAGTAAAAATGGATCATATTTTAAAGACGAAATCTAGCTAAACATTATAACCAGAGTTCCTTTCAGACATCTTTTAGTTGGAGGAGTTGAGGAGCGACTGTCGAATGTAACACCCAAAGTCAGTACTTCACCTGACTCACACTTGCCCCCCGCCCCCTCCCCCACTCTAAAAAACACATTTGTCAGCAATCGCCTACAAACATACTTGGATACTTGTTGCAAACTAAAAACAGTACTTTTTTAAAAATCTATGAAATACGAACTAAAAATGAAACAAAACCAATCACAATTTTATTTTTACATTGATAACAGTTTAATTATAACATTGTCGACATCATTTTCAACCCTGGGTGATTGATCCTTGTTTAGTGGAAGTGTCAAATGTCACATTAAGTACCACAGGTGAACCAGAACTAACGGTTACACTTGTTGAAGCCGTTGTATACCTGACAGATAATAACAAGATGAGAGTAGGATACTTAAGAGGGAAATACAATAATTTTAAAATGTGTGGATTTTTTATAAGAAGATTAAAAAACAAACATTAAAAAATTAAATTTAACGTGGAAAGATAAACATAATTTAGCGAAAGGAAAAGGATAAGAATATTATAAATTAACAAAATAATAAAATCAGAAGTTGAGAAAATTAAAACGAGAATAACATACATTCACCATGTAATGAGTTTGAGAGAAAATAATATGAAATACCCAAGGAACTATTTTCACGCCGTATACCAACATACCAGTAGACACGCAAGCAAAACCAATCCAAATACAACTCTACAATTACCTTCTAATAGACATAGACAAGTCTCCAGTCCTATGACACCCATTCACGTCAGTTTCTAATATATCTTGCACTTATAATACACCTATACTTGTACCTTTCCAGTACTCTAATAACGTCCCGCTTCTAATAACCAATACACGTCCTCTTCTAACATACATGGAGACAGTCTCTTGCCATATTACATATACACAATCATGGACAAGCCAACTACTTAAACAGTTTGACAAATGTTACCTGAATTCTTCACCTCACCTTGAAAAGCTGCTTACTTAATTACCTGAACACTGCATCTACTAAAATATCATAAAATGTCACGTTCTAATTCAGCTACGAACATATGTGAACACGTCACACCCTTAAGAACACCCTCTACCCCAGTTCATATAACAATACACGCTCACCCTGTACTAACACACCTGGACATACACTACCTACCCCTCAACACTGAAACTAATACTATAAGTTCCAGGTATCAGAAGCCTCCAGTATTCTCCAAGATCGGACGTGTTCATCGTGTAATCAATGCCAGACACACGGACTTGTGCATTAGCGATTGGAGTTCCATCACTTGTCTTGACTACGCCTTTTACTCCCATATGTGTCTGTACACAATTAACTTCATTAACATAACTATTCAACAACTAATTAATTGCCTTTATTTACACAATATGGACATATAAACTGAACTTCAATCTAATACTACTAAAACTCAACTTTGTTTACATGTTTGAATATTTATTTGTTTGTCTGATTTACTATATCAAATGGTTCTACTCATCGTGGAGAGCTGTAAAATAGTATGTAGGTAGAGAACAATTTTTGTTTTAAGACAGACTGTTAATCACAAATTTATTTAAAGACGTTAATTAATTTATTGATTTATTCATAGGTAAATTAACCACATTTTTAAAAAAGTTTTAGAACAATGGCTTAATTTTGACTGAATAGTGACGTTTGATAACTCATTTTTTTTGTTTGTTTGTTTTTTTATTTGTTATTTGAGAGAATCTGCATTATGTGTAGAGTTGTAAAATAGGATTTTGGGTGGTAAATTCTGTTCTTTCTTGAACACACTGTTAATTACTAACTAATTTAAAGCCGTTAATTAATTTTTTGATATATTCATAGATAGATTAACCACATTTATTAGAAAAGTTTAGAACATTGACTATAGTAATAGTTAAAGAAGGTTTTTTTACAACAATGTTCAATTATTTTTTCTTTAGGCCTGTATGTGAATGATAAGGTTGACTATCAGGACCTCGCGAGGCATAGGGCAGGTGAAGTAGAGTTCACCTGTTTCTATGTTCTCAGCATATGAAGGGATAGTGTGGTCAGAGCCATGCTCGGGCGGAATCTTTTTTTTTTAAATACAAACATGTCTGAGACTTGGCGGGGCACTGGGCAGGTGAAGTAGAGTTTAGTAGAGTTTTAAAATATAAAAAACGTCTTTTTGAATGTGGGGTCTGGTTATTTTGGGATGATAAGTGCTGGCAGACGTGATGTCATTTATGGATGAGCCCCCGAAACCCACAGTTATCTAACTAGATAACGGGTAGTCTAGTATCCTTATAAAAATAAGAAAAAGTTGGAGTCGAGCTTCTGGCATTGGTTACCTGTTCTATATAAGTGAGTAGAGCGTTTCTGTTGTCGTTCCAGTACGAGGCGAGTTCGCTGCTGTTTGGGTACCTGCAGCACGAAATCTCGATGGTAATCTCAAAGGTGTTGCTGTTCAGGTAGTTGTAGTCCTGCATGCCACCTGGAGAATGACAAAGTGACACGGTCAGGTGTTGCTGGGTAGGTAATTGTTTTCTGATATGTCTTCTGTCATATAAAAACAGGTGGTGTTGTCGGAAAACGCGAAAGTTTATATCACTTAGATTACGATTTCCGGAATTGTACATGAAAAATACTGCTAGTTTGAGCAAATATGAATGCCTTACATCTTGCATTGTAACATAATTTTTCCCTTGCATAGGAGAGTTGCTTCATAATAAACGAGAACTAGAATTTATTTGTATCATCCTTTCGAAACAAAATTTACAAAGGGGATTAGGTAATGGCATATCATTTCATTACATTGTTTTACATGCTGTATGAGATTAGCATTAGAGTTTCAATTAGATTGCCTAATGGTAATTAGCGAAATTCTGTGTAAATAAATATATCTAATTTACTACATTAAAAGGTAGTTTTTCGTAAATTAGTTCTTGATTAATAAATCTTTTTTTTTTGCTAAGGTAACTGTGTATGTAACTGGTATTTCAGAAACGGTTGTTGGTTACTTCCCTTTGCGAAAGTAACTTACCAGCAACTGTAAGCCATTCAGCCCCGTTAATTATCCCATCTTTGAAATTATCATTGCCCCCACAGCCTCTACCGAAGTGCATTGTGGGATGGGCGTTGGCGTAGGACTTTGCTAATGCTTTAAAGGTGGCATCGTCAGGTGTGGCTGCGTACAATCCCTGCCAAAAAATAATGATTTAATGAACTGCACGTTAGTTCATAAAAATCAAATGGATTGTCAATAACTATTCATTGTTGGTTTAATGTTTTTGATATGTTGCTAGCATTTTCCTGTAATGCACGACAACAAAGAAACACAATAATTTGGTAAATAAACTGATACAGCCTAATACATTTTTTAAAATTATGTAGATAGATTGTGTACACTGAGACATTGAGTGCAGTGGGAGTGGCGGTAAACTTTTAACCCCCCCCCCCCCCCACGTAAAGTATATACCATTATGCCCCCTCGGTATATTCTATTTATTAGGTCTAGATTATATTTTCCTCCCCGCTCCTACCACTAATCTTAAACTTTTTTTGTTCAGACACAAAAGTTGCAAAGTATGTCCATCTCACATCAACAAAGTGTTTTAAAAATGTTTGTAACGCATTGCATGTTTGCCGAAAAATGTGAAAAGAAAACGTTGATATTAGGCAAGCCAGTCAAAAGATTGATTTATTAAATGTTTCTTGCTTTCTGTGTACTTTTATGATTTTTTTTTTTGTATTTTTAGTATTATTTTTTTCTTTTTTATAGCTATTCCGTTTTTAGTATGTCTTATTTGAATAATAATTAAGTTAATCAATAGCTTTTATTTTACCTAAAAAAAACTTTTTAAAAGTGAAAAGAAAACGTTGATATTAGGCAAGCCAGTCAAAAGATTGATTTGTGAAATGTTTCTTGCTTTCTGTGTACTTTTATGATTTTTTTTTATTTATAGTATTATTTTTTTTCTTTTTTTATAGCTATTCCGTTTTTAGTATGTCTTATTTGAATAATAATTAAGTTAAGCAATAGCTTTTATTTTACCTAAAAAAAAAACTTTTTAAAAGATCTCCTTGGACACTTTCTTTAAAGTAGGGCAATAAATCATGGAACTGGTTTGAAGAAATGCTTTATATTTTACACTACATCTAATTTAGATTTTACAAATGTTTTCCAACGCAACAGTGTGTGTTAGTTATTGTAGAACAATCGTTTTTATAGCAGACCGGTTTATTTTTTATAAAATAGTTACTCGAAAAAACATATATTAAAACAAAAATGCATTGTTTTTTTTTGGTCGGATTTCGGGCCCCCTAAGAAGTCTGGACTGCCCCTCCTAGCAGGGTCTGGCGGCATGGGAGTTCCGCCCCTGGTTGAGTTACATCAAGCCGTAAAGCGGCAAGTTTTTTAGTGCTGTTGGTCTATAGTATGAAATCCTATAGAAAATGGAAACAAGTTACTCACTGAAGAAATGTCACCATATTGGTGGTCATCGAACGGGTAGGCAGCCACTAGTGTCACACATTGAAGGCTGGCGGAGAGGACAAAGTTTGGTTGGGTTTTGATCCAGTCCATGACGGCTTGTGTCTCGGCCTGAATAGTGCCGGTCATCCAGTACTGGTCAGGGAAATTCCGATTTAAATCTACACCTGAACAGGTAAATACACGAAGTCAAGCGTAACTTTCTTTATTATATCTTTAACTTTTTTTAATTTAATAATTTAGACTTAAAATTTCCAACATAATTCTAATGTTCTAAACCATTATGTCTCATTTTTCAAGGACACATTAATTGTAAAGGCAAAATAAGCGATAAAATATAATCAATTAACTCATTATTTAAAAAAACAACAGGAAACGTTATCAAATGAATACGATCGCGGTAGTTTTAATTGCAAATAGGCTACAAAATTATCATGAGCCGATTTAAACTAATTACTGACAGCTAGAGTTATTATTTTTGTTCCTAATCCCGTACTACTTTACTAATCACTGACAGCTATCGTTATTGTTGCTACCCCGATCAATTATAATATTCTCTGACAGAAGAAAACTAGAGTTACCGTTGTTGTTGGTACGCCCTACAACGTTGTCACATTCCCCTTCCCTCGAGATCTCGAACCCGTCAGGATTCAAGGTCGGCATCAGGTGGATGTCCGTCGTGTCCACCAGCTGGGTCACCCTGGGGTCAGTGCCGTAGTTGTAGAGCAGGTACTGGGCCAGGTACAGGATGACCTCCCTGCCCACAGCCTCGTTGCCGTGGATGTTGCCGATGTATTTGAACCTGGGTTCACCGACCTCCCTCTCGTTCACACGGTCAGATATCTGTTAATTAGTCACGTTGTATTCTCATCATATATATGGCCTACACAAAGGCAAAGGGGACCAATGGAAGGAATACTAAAAAAACTTTCGAAATCTGTGACAGCTTTAAACGTGTTTTTAACATTTGTACCCGTTGGTCAGTGTGCTGATATTACACACGTGCTAAACACACTGATTTAAATACACATTGCACTAATATTTAATAATATTTTAATAGAGTGCCGTCCCATATGTATCCCTAGTAAAACGTTTTTACATTCTTGAATACAAGTAAGGCCAAAAGAACATTTACATTATTTTTGCTAAATACTTAATTGACAGTTTTTTCCGCTTGCCTACCAGGTTGGGGGTTGAGCGTAAGGTCAGCAACCTTATATCGTAAAAAAACAACTCGCTACAGAAACGCAGACAAATAGAAATACAGACAGCTCGGACCAGGGGAAGAATGGATCTCCCGATAGAGAATTTAATAAGCCGGTTGGTGAAAGCCAATATGCATTGGGCTTGCCTCTGAAAGATTCTGCGAATTCGCGGAACTAAAACCATCAGAAATTATGTTCTATGGCAACGGACAAATCAACTGCCAGCGGAAGTAGAGATCCTCCAGAGAAAATGGAAATGGCTTGGCCACACACTCAGGAAGCCTGTATCCAGCATAACAAGACAGGCCCTCACCTGGAATCCACAGGTCAGGAGGAGAAGAGGCAGACCAAGAAAGACCCGTAGACGTGACCTGGAAGAAGATATTAAAAACATTGAACATGAGGACAGTTGGAGAGACTAGCTCAGGACAGAGACGCCTGGAAAACTCTTGTCAGCGGCCTATATCTGAGGAGGGATGACAGGCAAATCTAACCTAAACTAACCATCTTGTATGCGAATCATTGTTTCTCTAGCAGGATATACCGTTTTTTTGCTAGAGCTACGTTGCTCTATGAGCTAAATCACATGCTAGGTTTCTACAAAACATTGACCGAAATCCGTGCAAAGTCATGATCTCAAACCAGAGCATCTAGCATATTTGGTGTCTAATGAGCGTATTCAATTCATAGTTAATTACAAGATTAAAATAGTTCAGTAGGCATACATGAGAAACCTGTTCGCTACAATAGGCTACGCCGTCAACTTACTAAAAAAGTTGACAAATTGATAATGAACGCCGTGGTCATGTGGAGAGCATGACATCCATCTTGTCAATTACCGGTTCGGATTACCTATTGACACGGTACATTTTTAATTTTTTTCAGCAAACAAAACTGATTGACGGACAACTTTCTGACAAACGAACCTGAATAACGGACAACTTTCTCCCACCCATGGAAGTGCCGACGTCATAGACACGAGCCAGATTGGGGTAGTTTGAGACCAGCTGACGGAGGAGCGCTTGCAGGTCGTTGTAGTTGTGGTACTTGTCCGTGGCGATGGTCAGAGTCTCTCTCTTGGACACACTCGCAGACTGGACAGTGGTCAATGTACAGGCTACAGCGACGAGGAAAGTCAAGGAACCCATCTTGATTCAAGTTCACTGCCCTCTATAAGTGAGGTGAAAAAAAATAATTAAAATACATTTGTAGGTAGACGTAAAAATTAAGAAACTCTTTCTGTTGAAAGGTACAAACAACATTATTGCATCTGATTCATTTGAGACAAAGAAATACCACTAAATACCTTACACTAGTAAGGTAAGCGTAAAATAGTGAGAAGCAACAATTAAGTGATAATCTGTTATTATCTCGGTCTTGCTGAATAACTTTACAATCTGAACAATTATCATTAACATGGCAGGACTTGGCTCTATTGTTAGAGCTGTAGAGGTATTATAATTCAAGAGTGTCGAGTTCGAATCCGAGTTCAACACAGCGGAATATCCCTGAGTCCACATAGCTCTGATGAGTACCTGGCTCATGTTATTAAAAGTAAAGGATGCTGCGTATAATGCTCACCACACTATCCCTTCATATGCCGAAGTCAAGGAAAACAAACTCTACTTTATTTGCCTAATGCATCTAAAAAGAAATCTTTACTTTTTAATTTAAAAAAATAGTTAACAATTCTAAAAACCTGATCACCTACCTACAATCAATCCAACAATCGCTTACCTAGCTCCTGTTACGTATCATAGGCCCAGTAAGACCTTTTTGACCACAGCCCTATAAATGGGACCGAAAAACTCGACCTGTTTGCGTTATGAGAAGAATCGTAAACTCAACACATCAGCAAGACACAATGGTCATGTATCACAAAGACACACTCTACACTGCTAGCTGGACCAATAATCTCAGACAAAATATCACAGAAATTATATCTCAAGGATAAATGATTACAGGACAAAAATCTAGACTAAAGATCATAATTTTATAATAGCATTTTATTTTAAAATGGAAAAAAAATAAAGAAACAAAAACAACTTTGCAATGAAACTTTATAAGATAAATATAATAATGGAAGTTGATTTGTACGGGGAAAAAATTCATCGACTCGCTAACATCTGCTTCCTAACGTGAAACCATTTTTTTTTCGTGCACTCTATCAATAACCTTTCTCTGCAATCTTTGCTCTCGTTTAGATAAACATTGTGACATGATCACTAATCTTTGACCTAAATAACTATTTGACTTCTTTTGACTGTTCATCTAGTGTATTGTCCATGGAGAGAGGAGGGCTTTTCACTTAGGTTCTGCTTAATATTATTATAATTGCAAGTCAGTTTGACTTCTGCTGTTGCCTTTCAGACACGTGGTATCTTGCTCTTGTGCACTTAATAACGATGTCGCACTGTATTTAAAACTATATGGTCCACGGCAGTTAGTTCTATCGTCGATGATGACAAAATCCAATCGCTAATTTTATGAGTCAGGTGTGTGTCTTGACCTCCGCCAAACCCCTGAGATTGACTCACCAAACCCCATTGGGTTCTCTTGAATCCAGGTTAAGAACCCTCTGATCTAATACTTTATATTTTCTTGATATTATGTCCTACATGTAAAATAAGTAAAATATATTTAACGAGCCGACCCGCGGCGTATCATACGCCGCTATTTAGTTGTTTTATTTTCTACTTTTCAGTAATTCATAATTTGTGAATTCGACAGTACCAATGCTGCCACTGAAAATATTTGCTTTAAAACAATAACCCCCCCCCCTTTCCCCCTACCCTACACCCCCCGCCCCCCCCCCCCCCCGTGAAAGCAGCCTCCTCTTAGTTAACTCCTCCAAGTTTAAAATCGTTTCAAACTAAATTATCTGCCCCTAATAGCCGTCACTAAATCCGGCTCTATGGTTGTAAACATTTAGCTTGAACCACAGCTCACCAGATTATGTTGGGGTTGGGGGTGGTAGTGATAGAGAGGAAGAGAGGGGACTGCAAGGCGCGCTTGCAGCTTGTTTTCTAACGTCTCCAAGAAGAGAATTATATATATAGATGTACGTATCTTTTGAATAGGAAAACAGCGACACGAGTACTGAGTACACGAGTATACAGGAAAGGAAAGTATCTTTAATATTTCTAAACTCCGAGTTTCAGGATACGCCTGTGTCAATAGGACAAGGTAAATACAAGAATATTCTGTATTCAGTGACTGATTACAAAAGTAGATAACAAAAGGGCATCACGAGAAGGCATTTTAAAGGGTTTAGTTGGTCAGATTGAGAGATTCTCATGAGCTAAGGGCTAGAAGGCTACAGGTATAGATAGAAGACATTATTACGATTGTTGTGTTAGGGTTGATATTTTTTCTTATTTTGCTTAGCATTGACAAAGTGCAATTTGTGATTTATTCTGTTCTTGCTTGACAAGCAAAAAAGTAAAATGGTCACGTTTGTGTGTGTGTGTGTGTGTTTGCACAAGTGTGCTAGTTGATGTGTAAGTGTGTATGTTTTGGTCTGTGTAATTACATATTTTCTGTTTTTGTCTGTCTCTTGCTGTTTGTATGTATTTGAATACAGATGTATGTGAGTGTGTGGTCTATGTGATTATATGTGAACGTGTGTAATCAGATTGCGAGCTATAATAAGCTGTGTATGTATGTTGTTTTGTGTTAAGATAGCCTATTTTTTAAGCTTTTCGTTTTTAAGTAACTTCGAATGTTAGACATAAAGAATATTTTTACGACGCGTCTGTAAATAATGCCACTTTAGAAAAACCAGGTACTGAGGGGTATTTTTAATTAATTCACCGCAAAAACAAAGTACAGTAAAGTAAAGAATACTCTTTAGACATAGCGATCCTGGTAGTTTTGTAGAGAGCATAAGTTTTTATTTTAAGCATATACTGGTGTTTTCATGCTTTAGGTATATTCAGCACTTAGAAAGGTCACAACTGCGATTTATGAATATATACAACTCATTTCTGAATTTCTTTAGAAAATAAACAGGCCAACTATTTCAGATAACGAATTCAATTAAAATTTTCCTTCAGTGTTTCGGGACGGGGATCTCGGATGGTAGAGCAATCGAATGTAACATTAATGTCTCGAGTTCGAATCTATGCCCATAATCGAAATTATGTTGACTGATTACTTTATTTTTAATTCAATAGCTGATTTTATAAACAAGAAAGCAAGTAAAAAAAAAAAAACATTTTTTTCAACATTCTACTTTCTCGTATACAAATATAAAGGAAGTATTGTAATCGTGCAAAATCTCGACGTTTTACACCTCCATGAGTTGGAAAATCATCGTTTTGCAATTTTGTCCGTATGTCTGTGTGTATATGTGTATGTGTGTGTTGTGTGTGTATGTGTGAGTGTATGTGTGTCTGTGAACACGATAAATGGAGTACCGTTACAGCTAGGTTGATGAAATTTCATATACAAGGATTATAACAAATTTGTAGTTATGTTTCAACTTTTCAGCGATTTTCTGTAACCGGATATGGAACTTATTCTACTTTCAATTTATTTTAAAAGCCTATAATTTGCGAACATTTTCTGATAAATAACTGAAATTTAACATGTAAGCAAAAGATCTCTTTCTCTGCCTTCTGTCAAAATATGAGTAAATTCCCTTGACCGTAAATAATAATTTAGGCTATTTCCGATTTCTCAAAAAAAAAAAAAAAAAAAAAAAAAAAACCGCAAGTGAATTTATAATGTGTTAATAATATTCCGCACTATTATATACATATTGTTGGCATTCAGATAATAGCTTTATAAACAGATAAGTGATATTTCAACGCCAAGGGTAAACAAAGGTACAGACAATAGTCCAAGTAAAGACAGAACAGTCAGAAACCAACGGGATCCGAACCTGCTATTCCACGCGGCACCATATCGCGTACAAACACACCTATATACACCACCTACTGTGCATGTGTAACACATGTGTCCGTACAAAACCCACACTCTGGATATTGTTGGCATAACTAAAAACAAGCAATCAGAACACATGCCACCGTGGTTTTAACTCACCTAGACATCCAATAATACGCATGAATGCATTCGATAAACTCACGCATCAGAATACATATTACCCCCCCCCCCGTCAAAACACCAGGATATATGTCGTCTCCTAATACACCTGGACTGACGTCACATATAAAAATAAATGGATATATTTTATCCAGCAACCCACCTGGATATACTCGGTATGCCTAAATACTATCACGTGGTGTTGACACACCTACACACACTTCGTCGAGCCAACTCAGACACAGACAATGTAATAACACGCATGAACGCAGTTCTTAAATAAAAATAAATATATCTGGACTCAAACTCGCTCCCCCCCCCCAACATACCTGGACATTTAGATCCATACATGTACACATCCCCTACAAACATACCTGGAAACACGTCACTTCCAAATACACCTTCACATCCCCTATAAAAATACGTGGTTATATTTACAGTTCTGTAAATCCAGAAATCCAAACTAAGAAGCAAAAAAAAAAAAATTAAAATTTTACAATTTTATTTTTTACTGTGATAACAATTAAATTGTATCATTGTGGAATTTTTTTTTTAACCCTGGGTGATAGTTCCTTGTTTAGTGGAAGTGTCAAATGTCACATTGAGTACCACAGGTGAACCAGAACTGACCGTTACACTTGTTGAAGCCGTTGCATACCTGACAGAGAAAATAAAAAGATGAGAGTAGGAGAATTTAGAGGGAAATACAAGAACTTAAAAATGTCTGGATTTAATACGAAGATTAAAAAACAAACATAAAAATAATATTTAACCTGGAAAGATAAAAAAAAGATAGCGTAAAGAATAGGATAAGTTTATTATAAATTTTGGAAAATAATCAGAATTTAAGGAGATTAAAAAGATAATGAGTTTGAAAGAGAATAATATAAATACCCAAAATTCTTTTCTCACTTACGCTACATACCGACACACCAATAGGTACGCTAACAATACCAGTCTGAACACACCTCAATACGTCACTTACTAATGAAACTGGACAAATCACCTGCTAAAACCCCTGGAAAAAAGTCACCTGACCCAGTACTATTACACCAATTCACGTCCAATTCATAATGTTCTTCGCACTTTTAATACAGCAGTACAAGTCACCTTCTAATTTACGTAGAGACAGTCTATTGCAACATTTCTTATACGCCTGGACGCGCCACCTAATAAAATACTTTGACAAACGTCACCTGACCAAGTCCTTACACACTTGCGTATGTCATCCTACCTGGATAGGTCACTTACTAACATACTTGAGCACTTCATCTATTAACATACCATGACATACCACGTTCTAAGTCACCTGGAAATGCCACTTACTAGCATACCTGAACACGTTATTCTACTAACACACTCGAAAATACGCACTCTGCCCACGTTCATATAAAAATATACACACATTACTAACAAACTGACATACTGTACCTACCCCTCAGCACTGTATCTGATGTTGTAAGTGCCTGGTGTCAGAAGTCTCCAGTATTCTCTAAGATCTGGAAATTTTGTAAGATAAATAAAATAATCGAAGTTGAATTATAAAGAAAATAAACAAAGACTCGCTCATCTGTTTCCTAACTTAAAATCATTGGTTTTGTTTTTTTCGTGCACTATTCGAATTCAATTTCTTTGTAATCGTCGCTCTCGTTTAGATAAGCATTGTCATCTGATCACTAACTTTGACCTAAATATCTCTTTGACTTCTTTTTATTGTTCTTCGCGTGTATTGTACACTGAGAGAGGAGGTCTTTTCCCATAGGGTCTGACACCGCCATTACAGTGGAGAACATATTTCTATGAAGGTGTGTATGCATTGTACTTACATCAACAGATGATCGATCTCACTTAAACTAATTTTGTTCACCTGATATTTTAAGATTGTTTCTTGTTCTGCAAGGTCAACTACCTTGTCTATAGAACATTAATTTTAGCCTACATATACTATGCTTATAATTATATTTTCCAGTTCATGCCCAGGATCATAGGGTCAGAATGTGTAGAGTTCATCTGTTTCAATACCTCAGCTTACAGAGTAAAAATGTTATCAACACCATGTCCAACCGTCTTAGTTTCCGTAAGGTGAGTCAGGTACTCACCAGAGCTGAGTAGACTCAGAGAGTTCTAAATCTAGAGACTGGAATCCAAACTCGAGCAGTCGTTAGCTCTACCATTCGACCATGCCATCCAGCATACTTTACTACTTATTACAATTAAAGTATTAATTGTATTAATATCAACTTTCATTTCCGTCAGAAGATAAGCATGTTAACTATTATTTTTGTATGACTATGATCTAATAGAATCATGAATGCTTATCAGTTCTGCTAAGCTCGTGTGGTCTACAAAGTATGATTGTGTGCGGGCAGATAACTCTTACATTAAAAACACAACGCCTCTCAGATGTGTAGTTCAGGTGAAGGCTAGTTTTGGATGTGGGCAGTTGTTAAACCGGTGGATAATTTATCGGGCCTCGATAATCCACCCCTCCACGGATTAAACAGAAACAATATATAATTTATATAGAAAATATATTCTTGAACCAGGTTCCGCCTGCCCACTCCGTAATTTTTGAGCCCCCCCCCCTTCCAAAATTTCAAGTGCACCATCCCCCCCCCCCCCCCTCTAACCGCGGGCTACCAAGCGAGCACTCTTAAACTAAACCAAACTGTCCCATTTAGAATTTATCATTTCGGATCAATTTATTATTTTAATATAATAACAGCAGGGATTAAAAGCTAAATAAAAGGACGAAAACTTAATAAGCAATTTCAATTTATTTTGTAAAAAGTTGGTTTTAGACCTCGTTGACGGTTCCGTGTTTAGTGGAGGTGTCAAAGGTCACGTTGAGTACCACAGGTGAACCAGGTCGAACTGTGACTTGTGTTTTAGCTGATTTATACCTGTGAGAGAATATCTATGTGAGAACAGATGGATAGAACATGAGTTAGGAATTGTATCACATACATCAACATATGTGGATAACACTCAGTACCAGTGTCTTGCCGCAAGCTGTTGATTATACGGCGTAATGGTATTTATTCGAGAACTGACCAGAGGCGTAGCGACCCTTCCCGGCGACCGGGGACAAACTTTTCGGTTTGCAACCCCCCCCCCCCCTCATGATTTCGATTTGCACCCCCCTCAAGCTTTGAATTTGCATCCCCTCTACCTTTCAATTTATTTTTCCAACCCATTTTCGCGCCCCCTAAGGTCGGCGCCCGGGTACATATGTCCCTGGAATTCCTATACTTCAAGCTACACCTGTATACTGATCCAAGTTTCAGCGCTAACACACCAAGACTTCTGCTACCACTGCAGTGCCAGAAGATCATAAACATAACACACGCCCTAATCCTAACTCACTTGAATAATTGCCATATATTCAAAGTTTAGCCGGACCCATCCAATACGATCAGGCCACACCTTTTACACATCACATCAAACGCACCTGGACACACATCACCAATCAACACATTTAATCACACATCACCAATCAACACACTTAATCACACATCACCTATCAACACACTTAATCACACATCACCAATCAACACACTTAATCACACATCACCAATCAACACACTTAATCACACATCACCAATCAACACACTTAATCACACATCACCTATCAACACACTTAATCACACATCACCAATCAACACACTTAATCACACATCACCTATCAACACACTTAATCACACATCACCAATCAACACACTTAATCACACATCACCTATCAACACACTTAATCACACATCACCTATCAACACACTTAATCACACATCACCAATCAACACACTTAATCACACATCACCTATCAACACACTTAATCACACATCACCTATCAACACACTTAATCACACATCACCTATCAACACACTTAATCACACATCACCTATCAACACACTTAATCACACATCACCAATCAACACACTTAATCACACATCACCAATCAACACACTTAATCACACATCACCAATCAACACACGTAATCACATATTACCTATCAACACACTTAATCACACATCACCTATCAACACACTTAATCACACATCACCAATCAACACAATTAATCACACATCACCAATCAACACACTTAATCACACATCACCTATCAACACACTTAATCACACATCACCTATCAACCACTTAATCACACATCACCAATCAACACACTTAATCACACATTACCTATCAACACACTTAATCACACATCACCAATCAACACACTTAATCACACATCACCAATCAACACACTTAATCACACATCACCTATCAACACACTTAATCACACATCACCAATCAACACACTTAATCACACATCACCAATCAACACACTTAATCACACATCACCAATCAACACACTTAATCACACATCACCAATCAACACACTTAATCACACATCACCAATCAACACACTTAATCACACATCACCAATCAACACACTTAATCACACATCACCTATCAACACACTTAATCACACATCACCAATCAACAAATTTAATCACACATCACCTATCGACACACTTAATCACACATCACCTATCAACACACTTAATCCCACATCACCTATCAACACACTTAATCACACATCTCCTATCAATACATCTGTTATATACCATCTAGCGTTCTTCTTCACCTACCTAGCAACACTGTAGGTGATATTGTAAGTGCCTGGTATCAGAAGTCTCCAGTATTCTCCAAGATCTGACGTGGTCATCACGTGATTGATGCCAGACACACGCACCTGAGCGTTAGTTATTGGAGCACCCTTGCTTGTCTTGATGACGCCTTTCACTCCCATATGTGTCTTCATGAACAATAATATTCATTAAAACTTCCATAAGTTACTCTATGTTAGTTTAATATTCATTGACTGTTAGAGAATTTGCTAGTATTATTCGTTATACCGAGAACAACTAAGGAAAATAATACGAATTTTAACTTTATAACCTATTTTTAATCTACTGTAAAGTGGAATTACACCAACCCTAACCATAAAAACCTAGCTCTAAATTCGTTTTAAATTGTGGGCTAGGAAATAGAACAACTTCTTAATTAATTAATAAGTTTTTTTTTTAAATTTTTATTTTTGTATATATATAGAAAAAGTTAGAATAGGCTACATAAGGGAATTGTGTGAAGGCATCATGGACTTTTTCTAAAAATATGGTTTCCGTGACAACGACGGCCATCTTGAAAACAACAACAACCGTTAGTGGAGGTTTCCAGACTCGAAACCTAACATAAATTTTATATTGATCGTATAATCAATGATCTTCCTTTTACTAACTCTAACAGAGTCAGCGGGCAAGTCTTTATAACAGAAAACATTCTAGATACATAATTTTTTTTTAATTTTAAAATGTTTACAATACGGTGAAATAACCTTAAATTGAGAATTTAACGGTAATTCACCGTACAAAATTTTGAAAATTAAAAAAAAAAAAATTTCTATTGTGCTTTATGTTACTACACTTTTGTTTTGCCATATTTCATTTATTTGATTAATAGTTGTTTTCCATGCTACTTTTAAAGCCCCTTTTGTCGATGTAATCTCATCATTTATTCTTTCACAATTGTCTCAACCTTCTGCCACCGCCTACCAGTGTTTCTTCCAGAGATTTTTTCTCCGGGGGGGGGGGGGGGCGCTTGAGATTTTCGGGGGGGGGGGGGGGGGGGCGGGGGCAAGATGCCTGGAAGAAACTGCCGCCTACCTGCTCTATATAGGTGAGGAGAGCGTCTCTGTTGACATTCCAGAGCGAGGTTAAGTTTCTCCTGGACGGGTACTTGCAGCATGAGATCTCCAGGGTGATGTCAAAGGTGTTGCTGTGTAGGTAGTTGTAGTCTTGCATGCCACCTGGCGAATAACAAAATGACATGGTTAGGTGTCGATGTGTAGGTAGTTGTAGATTTGCTTAAGTAAAAAGTTGAGAATCCTATTTAGACCTTACGATCCAATGGGCAGATGAAGTCGAGTTCTTATGCTTCTTAACCTCGGCATATGAAAAGAAGATGTGGTCAGCACTTTGCCCAGCCGTGTTTACTTTCCCTAACATGAGTTAGGTACCCATCAGAGCTGGATGAACTCAGGGACCCTCTACTGGCTTAAACTCGGGTTCGAACTAGCAACCTTCGGGTTAGCAGACTAGCGGTGGTCTTGCATGCCACGTAGTAAATAACATAAAGACAAGATCAGATGTTGATATGTATTCAGGTGTAGCATTGCGTGCCGCCCGATCGTAAACCGCATCTGGTTTGACAAAACTTGTTGTTTTTTCTAACAACTCTAAAGGAAAGCTATCATCGCTTGAGTGAAGATGAATACTAGTCACAGCGTATCACTCAACAAATCGTGTTACTGCCCTTGGATGTGACGTTAACTTACCCTTAATACTGTACCAATAAGCACCGTTGGTTATCCCCCCTGGAAAATCATATTCGCCATTACACTGTTTGCCGCGGTTCATAGTGGGATGGGCGTTGGCATAGGAACGGGCTAGAGATTTGAACGTGTTATCATCAGGTGAAGCAGAGTATACGTACTGTGGGAAGAGGAAGTTTTTTTTTTTACACACACATTACATCAGCAATTATCTTAACTGTATAGTGTTTACCTGCACATTATATCAACAAATATCTTAACTGTTATAGTTTTTAACAGCACATTATATCAATAAATATTTAACAAAAGCCTGATTAAAATTACCAGCACATATTTCAATGCTATTTTTGCAGTGGTTTATTCGTGTATGGTAAAAACAGACAAATACATCAATACATGTATTTTGTGGCAGTAGTATCTTCGTGCATGGTAAAAACAGACAAATACATCAATACATGTATTTTGTGGCAGTGGTATCTTCGTGTATGGTAAAAACAGACAAATACATCAATACATGTATTTTACGGCAGTATTATCTTTGTGTATGGTAAAAACAGACAAATACATCAATACATGTATTTTGTGGCAGTAGTATCTTCGTGTATGGTAAAAACAGACAAATACATCAATACATGTATTTTATGGCAGTAGTATCTTCGTGTATGGTAAAACAGACAAATACATTAATACATGTATTTTGTGGCAGTGGTATCTTCGTGTATTCTAAAAACACACAAATACATCAATAAATGTATTTTGTATAACGGCAATGTTAGTGAGATAAATCTGTATCATAAAGATAAGTCACATTTTTTTTCTCTGGTCTTAACATTATCAATTTCTTAATCCTTACTTCCATCGTAATTGTAAAGAGCGCTTAACTCTATCGATGTTTAGAGTTGCTAGATAGATTTTTTAAAAGTATCAGTTTGTGGATTTGAGTGAGTAGTTTGCATTCTTGCTACTTTAGTGTCAACGACTTATAACACTTTCTTTTACGAAAACTGGCTAAAAAAACCATGTCCGTAACAAATGCGAACTACGAAAGAAATCCCAAATATTGACCTAGACACAAATAGCCACGAAGAAATGAAAAAATAGCTCTTTTTACTTTTTAATACCTTTAAACCATTTCTATATTTGCATTTTCTTTTTAGTCCTCGTTATTTAAAAAAATGTTATTTTAAAAAAAAACGTTATTTTTTAAAAAAAAAACGTTATTTAAAAAACTTAATTTAAAAAAAAACGTTATTTAAAAAAATGAAAAAAAGAGCTCTTTTTAATCCCTTTAAACCATTTCTATATTTGCATTTTCTTTTTAGTCCTCGTTATTTTAAACAATGTTATTAAAAAAAAAAACGTTATTTTTTTTTTAAAAAAAAACGTTATTTAAAAAACTATATTTAAAAAAAACTTTTTTTTTTAAATTTAAAAAAAAAACTTTATTTAAAAAAAAGTTATTTAAAAAAAACGTTACTTAAAAAAACAACGTTATTTAAAAAAAGAAGAAAAAAACAACAATAAGTTATTTACTGATGGAGTAATTAGTTGATACTTGTGGTCATCGAAGGGGTAGTTAGCAACTAGCGAACCCCCGTGAAGGGTGGCGGAAAGGACAAAGTTTGGTTGGGATTTGATCCAGTCCATGACGGCCTGAGTCTCGGGCTGGATGATGCTGTTTTTCCAGCGAAGAGCCGGAAAATTCCGGTTCAGGTCAAGACCTGGGGATAAAGTATAGAATGGAGTTAGCGTTTCTTGGGTACTGTTAACAAAACGTCGAGTTAACAAAATGTCGAGTTAACAAAATGTCGAGTTAGCAAAATGTCGAGTTAACAAAACGTCGAGTTAACAAAATGTCGAGTTAACAAAACGTCGAGTTAACAAAATGTCGAGTTAACAAAATGTCGAGTTAGCAAAATGTCGAGTTAACAAAACGTCGAGTTAACAAAACGTCGAGTTAACAAAACGTCGAGTTAAAAAATTTGTCGAGTTAACAAAACGTCGAGTTAACAAAACGTCGAGTTAACAAAATGTCGAGTTAACAAAACGTCGAGTTAACAAAACGTCGAGTTAACAAAACGTCGAGTTAACAAAACGTCGAGTTAACAAAACGTCGAGTTAAAAAAATGTCGAGTTAACAAACGTCGAGTTAACAAAACGTCGAGTTAACAAAATGTCGAGTTAACAAAATGTCGAGTTAACAAAATGTCGAGTTAACAAAATGTCGACTAGTAAAAGTGTGTTTAGATTTTAGAATATTAAAACAGTGTTTGTAATTTTTAACATTTTAAAGGTTATAAAATATATTATGCAACAACGCAGGTGTTCCTCCTTGCAAACTTTTGTAAATGACAATCTTGACTGCATTTTGTTTTTAAAAACGTGGGGTTCAAATATTATAAATCAAAATTGATAACCGTCGTATTCAAAAGATATTGGTGAATTGGATGTTGATAAAAGTTGAACTGGAAAAGACACTTCATTCATCCGTCTAATCAGCATGAAAGTAGGGTCTAGGATAATGTATACTTCAAATACTTATTTTAAAAAGTTAATTGAAATTATATATCCTCAGCGGGTCTTTTTCTTCGAAGGTGTGTGTGTGTAGGGGGGGGGTGTGGGTGGGGGTATAGAGAGGGGGGGGGAGAAATGACAACCGTACAGGCTCATTATATTTCTAGCACACTTTTTACATAAATCTCTCATCGCATTATAGCTTATATTCTTTTACCACCAGAAATAAACCGGGAGTGATCTCCCCTAAACTTTCTAGAATATTCTTATATAAAAAAACAGGGGATGGGAACTCGGGATATAGACATGAATTTTAGTTTATTTTAAATACTTAAACTTTTTAAAATAGAATAAAATCTCGTAGAAAAAATAATTGCCCACCAGTGAACGCCAAATAAAATGTGCATAATAGTGCGGAATATTATTAGTACTTTATAAATTTACATTAGTTTTTGAGAAATCGGAAATAGCGTATATTAGTACTTCCGGTGAACGGAAATTACTCCAATTTTAACAGAAGGTACAGAATTAGATCTTTTACTTACATGTGAAATTTCATTTATCTATCTGAAGTAGTACTCAAGTTATAGGCTTTTGAAAAATATAAAGTAGAAAAAGTACCACTTTCGTTTATCGGAAATCGCTCAAAAGTTGATAGGGATCTACGATTTTGATAAAATACTTATACATGAAATTTCATTAACCTAGCTGTAACGGTACTCAAGTTATCGTGTTTATAAACACACACACAAAGACACACACACACACAGACATACGGTCAAGATTGCAAAATTATGTTTTTCCGTATCAGTGAGGTGTAAAACGTCGAGATTTGCAAAAAATCTCGTTTTTTTTTTTGCACTATTACAAGACTTTCTCTATACTTCGTATATACGAGAAAGTAAAAAAAAAAAAACAACGTAACTCTCTATGCGTTAATAGCTAGTGTTTATTTTACAAAGACGGCAGAGTTACCGTTCTTGTTGCTACGCCCCAATATGCTGTCACAATCCCCTTCCCTCGAGATCTCGAACCCGTCAGGATTCATGGTCGGCATCAGGTGGATGTCCGTCGTGTCCACCAGCTGGGTCACCCTGGGGTCAGTGCCGTAGTTGTAGAGCAGGTACTGGGCCAGGTACAGGATGACCTCCCTGCCCACAGCCTCGTTGCCGTGGATGTTGCCGATGTATTTGAACCTGGGTTCACCGACCTCCCTCACGTTCACTCGGTCAGATATCTGTTACCACAGAAACGTAATGTGACATAAATACTAAGTCAAAATATATTTTAATTTATATTCAACTAGCGTTCCCTTCCTCGCGCGTTGCCGCGGTGTTAGGATAAAGTCTGAAGAAATATATTAGCAGAGTTTCATCAATGCATTAACATACTATATTCTTTGACGTATGACCTTGTTTAATAAAACTGCGTCATTTAATTGTAAACAATACCTGCACGTTTATCATATTCATCGAGGCACTGGTTTACCTAAACTACCGCCCAGCACGCCGCATGGAGTGCTGTAAGAAAGCCTTGAGTGTACGTTAATCACTCACCGAAATATGAGTGCTGACCACACTATCCCTTCATATGCCGACTTCGCAGAAACATGTGAACTCTACTTATATGAAAAGAACTTTATAAACGAACATTTTCTGAAAAACTAGCCAGAATAACGAACAGTTTTAATTCAAAAAGAAATTAAAGAAAGGACAACGTTAAGTTAAATGGGCCCAATGGACAACTTTCTGACAAAAGTAACCTTAAAAATGAACACATTTCTGAGAAACGAACCTGAATAACGGACAAGTTTCTCCCACCCACGGACTCGCCGATGTGATAGACACGAGCCAGATTGGGGTAGTTTGAGACCAGCCGACGGAGGAGCGCCTGCAAGTCCTTGTAGTTGTGGTACTTGTCCGTGGAGATAGTCGGGGTCGCTCTCTCGGACACATTCGCAGACTGGACAGTGGTCAAGGCACAGACGGCAGCGATTAGAAAAATGACCCAGCTCATCTTGATTCTACTGGTGAAATACCTCATCTCCTTTGAAAAAAGCACATAAATTACACGATAATTCTAGAAATATAATAAGTTGAACAGTATTTTAACAGTATTCTACCAAACGACTAATCCATCCGCATTGGATATAGATACTAGTAATTACACAAAGTAACATATAAGCTGTTTAAAAAAACAAAACAAAACTATTATTAACTTCACCACCATAAATGCTGTCACGGTGTATACTTCTTCTGAAACTGACGGCCTACACAAATTGTCTTTTTACTGTTTGAATCAAACCTAATCAAAGGCGTAGCAAGGGTGTGGCGGAGGGGGGGGGGGGGTGCGGGCTGCACCGGCTGACACCCTTTAGGGGGGTGACCCAAAGAAAAAAAAAATTCAGAAGAAAAATGCTTTTTTGCCTGTCCGATTTATAATTTTAAGTACAAATTTAGTAATTTATGTAGATATATAGATATATATTTTGTTTCTTGGGGGGGGGGGGGGGCACCACGCAGTGCCGCACCGGGTGACACCCGACCTAGCCACGCCACTGAACCTAATTAGGTAACTGTTGTAACGAAGCTTCATTAAATTAATTACACAGGTGTAAGAAAAATAGCAACATGACGTATAGGTAAGACACGTTCTTAATTAACTCACTGGCATCCGAGGTAATTGCCCAATGACCTTTGTTCCCCGAAATTCCAAATGTAATTATGACAGTCTGTGGTGTGATGGGGGAATACATTTTTGAGCTCTGTCACCGACTAATTAACTAATTAGATATTTTGTTGCGTAATTTGAATGTATAGTTTGTGAAACCAGAGATTTGTTATTCGTTATATGATACACGTTGTGTTTATAACGATTTGGGTTAAAATCACGAATACAGTTTGATGTAATTTAAGTAACCTTTAACAACACTTTTATTTGACCAAGATTAAACGAGAGAAATGCTCTGAAATTTAACTGATCTCCTTAAAATAAAGCACGTATTAAGAAATATAACACATTGTCAAATAAATAAACCGGGAGTGATCTCCCTTAAACTATATCGTATATTGTTATATGAAACAATAGGGGATGGTAACTCAGGATATAGACATGATTTTTAATCGATTTTAAATACTTAAACTTTTTAAAATAGAATGAAATCTCGTAGAAAAAGAATTGCACACCAAGTGAACGCCTAATAAAATGTGCATAATAGTGCGGAATAATATTAGTACTTTATAAATTCACATACGTTGTTTGAGAAATCGGAAATAGCGTATATTACTACTTCTGGTCAACGGAAACTTGACAGAAGGAGGAGAAGTAAATCTTTTACTTACATGTGAATTTTCATTTATCTATCTGCAATAGGTTTCAAGTTATAGGCTTTTGAAAAATTTAAAGTAGAAAAAGTTTCACTTCCGGTTATCGAAAATCGCTCAAAAGTTGATACGGACCTACGATTTTGATATAATATTTATATATGAAATTTCATCAAATTAGCTGTAACGGTACTCAAGTTATTGTGTTTACGGACAAACACACACAGACAGACACACATACACACACACACAGACATACGGACAAGATTGCAAAACTATGTTTTTCCGACTCAGTGAGGTGTAAAATGTCGAGATTTGCAAAAATCTCGATTTTTTTGTCTGCACGATTACAAGACTTTCTCTATAGGCTACTTCGTATGTATCTATATATATAAAGCAAAGTGGTCAAGTGCCCGATAGGGCACTTCCCGGCGCCGCAGGCGCGTCAAATTTGGCACGATGGTGCCATCGGGCAATAGAACACGAAGGCCGGTGACGGTTGGCCGAAAAGTCTACGGAGAAGGGGTCAAAACTGACCTCGACTGACCGGCGCCTGATATGGGCTATATTACGAAAAAAAATTTCCTCAGACGACCCCCCTTGAAATTTTGTGTGGTGGTAGGAGAACGCCTTGGGGTGTCACAAAAAACTCGCCATGTCCGGGAAAAATCGGGAAATTGGTCAAAACTGACCAGTCGTATTTCCCTATATAATCTTTGTATTTTATGGGAAAAACAGAGGGTCATTTCAAAACGGATTTTAGGGCACTTACCCTGTTTACATCTGGCTAATTTTTGGCATGTTTATAGGTAAATGGCTTGACCGTAGGGCAGACCTGTCGGTCTTACTCAAAGCCTTCGACGAGGGCTAAAAAGTGACCGCGAGTGAAATTCTCTTTATATGAGCTCTATTACGAAAAAAAATTTCCTCCGACGACCCCCCTTGATATTTTGTGAGGTGGTAGGAGAACGCCTTGGGGTGTCACAAAAAACTCGCCATGTCCGGGAAAAATCGGGAAATGGGTCAAAACTGACCAGTCGTATTTCCCTATATAATCTTTGTATTTTATGGGGAAAACAGAGGGTCATTTCAAAACGGATTTTATGGCACTTACTCTCTTTACATGTGGCTCAGTTTTGGCATGCTTATAGGTAAATGGCTTGACCTTTAGGGAAAACTGTCGGTTACACTCAAAGCACTCGACGAGGGCTAAAATGTGACCGCGAGTGAAATTCTCTTTATATGAGCTCTATTACGAAAAAAAAATTCCTCCGACGACCCCCCTTGAAATTTTCTGAGGTGGTAGGAGAACACCTTGGGGTGTCACAAAAAACTCGGCATTTCTGGGAAAACTTCGTAAAGCGGTCAAAACTGACCAGTTGTATTTCCCTATATAATCTTTGTATTTTATGGGAAAAACAGAGGGTCATTTCAACGCAGACTTTAGGGTACTTAAGCTCAGTATATCTGGCTAATTTTTTGCATGCTCCTAGGTCAATGGCTTGACCTTTAGGGAAAACTGTCGGTTACACTCAAAGCCCTCGACGAGGGCTAAAATGTGACCGCGAGTGAAATTCTCTTTATATGAGCTCTATTACGAAAAAAAAATTCCTCCGACGACCCCCCTTGATATTTTGTGAGGTAGTAGAAGAACACCTAGGGGTGTCACAAAAAACTCGGCATATCTGGGAAAACTTCGTAAAGCGGTCAAAACTGACCAGTTGTATTTCCCTATATAATCTTTGTATTTTATGGGAAAAAAAGAGGGTCATTTCAACGCAGACTTTAGGGTACTTAAGCTCAGTATATCTGGCTAATTTTTTGCATGCTCCTAGAACAATGGCTTGACCTTTAGGGAAAACTGTCGGTTACACTCAAAGCACTCGACGAGGGCTAAAAAGTGACCGCGAGTGAAATTCTCTTTATATGAGCTCTATTACGAAAAAAAAATTCCTCCGACGACCCCCCTTGAAATTTTCTGAGGTGGTAGGAGAACACCTTGGGGTGTCACAAAAAACTCGGCATTTCTGGGAAAACTTCGTAAAGCGGTCAAAACTGACCAGTTGTATTTCCCTATATAATCTTTGTATTTTATGGGAAAAACAGAGGGTCATTTCAACGCAGACTTTAGGGTACTTAAGCTCAGTATATCTGGCTAATTTTTTGCATGCTCCTAGGTCAATGGCTTGACCTTTAGGGAAAACTGTCGGTTACACTCAAAGCCCTCGACGAGGGCTAAAAAGTGACCGCGAGTGAAATTCTCTTTATATGAGCTCTATTACGAAAAAAAAATTCCTCCGACGACCCCCCTTGAAATTTTCTGAGGTGGTAGGAGAACACCTTGGGGTGTCACAAAAAACTCGGCATATCTGGGAAAACTTCGTAAAGCGGTCAAAACTGACCAGTTGTATTTCCCTATATAATCTTTGTATTTTATGGGAAAAACAGAGGGTCATTTCAACGCAGACTTTAGGGTACTTAAGCTCAGTATATCTGGCTAATTTTTTGCATGCTCCTAGGTCAATGGCTTGACCTTTAGGGAAAACTGTCGGTTACACTCAAAGCCCTCGACGAGGGCTAAAAAGTGACCGCGAGTGAAATTCTCTTTATATGAGCTCTATTACGAAAAAAATTTTCCTCCGACGACCCCACTTGATATTTTGTGAGGTGGTAGAAGAACACCTAAAGGTGTCACAAAAAACTCGGCATATCTGGGAAAACTTCGTAAAGCGGTCAAAACTGACCAGTTGTATTTCCCTATATAATCTTTGTATTTTATGGGAAAAACAGAGGGTCATTTCAACGCAGACTTTAGGGTACTTAAGCTCAGTATATCTGGCTAATTTTTTGCATGCTCCTAGGTCAATGGCTTGACCTTTAGGGAAAACTGTCGGTTACACTCAAAGCCCTCGACGAGGGCTAAAAAGTGACCGCGAGTGAAATTCTCTTTATATGAGCTCTATTACGAAAAAAAATTTCCTCCGACGACCCCCCTTGATATTTTGTGAGGTGGTAGAAGAACACCTAGGGGTGTCACAAAAAACTCGGCATATCTGGGAAAACTTCGTAAAGCGGTCAAAACTGACCAGTTGTATTTCCCTATATAATCTTTGTATTTTATGGGAAAAACAGAGGGTCATTTCAACGCAGACTTTAGGGTACTTAAGCTCAGTATATCTGGCTAATTTTTTGCATGCTCCTAGGTCAATGGCTTGACCTTTAGGGAAAACTGTCGGTTACACTCAAAGCCCTCGACGAGGGCTAAAACGTGACCGCGAGTGAAATTCTCTTTATATGAGCTCTATTACGAAAAAAATTTTCCTCCGACGACCCCCCTTGATATTTTGTGAGGTGGTAGGAGAACACCTAGGGGTGTCACAAAAAACTCGGCATATCTGGGAAAACTTCGTAAAGCGGTCAAAACTGACCAGTTGTATTTCCCTATTTAATCTTTGTATTTTATGGGAAAAACAGAGGGTCATTTCAACGCAGACTTTAGGGTACTTAAGCTCAGTATATCTGGCTAATTTTTTGCATGCTCCTAGGTCAATGGCTTGACCTTTAGGGAAAACTGTCGGTTACACTCAAAGCCCTCGACGAGGGCTAAAAAGTGACCGCGAGTGAAATTCTCTTTATATGAGCTCTATTACGAAAAAAATTTTCCTCCGACGACCCCCCTTGATATTTTGTGAGGTGGTAGAAGAACACCTAAAGGTGTCACAAAAAACTCGGCATATCTGGGAAAACTTCGTAAAGCGGTCAAAACTGACCAGTTGTATTTCCCTATATAATCTTTGTATTTTATGGGAAAAACAGAGGGTCATTTCAACGCAGACTTTAGGGTACTTAAGCTCAGTATATCTGGCTAATTTTTTGCATGCTCCTAGGTCAATGGCTTGACCTTTAGGGAAAACTGTCGGTTACACTCAAAGCCCTCGACGAGGGCTAAAAAGTGACCGCG